TGTAACATTATGAACTGTGTGACGCCTACAGTATACACTCTTTGTAACAGCATCAACATGACACGCCATCTTTTACACTGTGCAATTAAATTTTAATTCGAAAATCATCTATTTATGCACCGTCATTTTGTTAAATTGCTTCTTTACGAAAGCCATTGTTATAGCACATCAATGAAGGCAGATAAACGAGTTCAACGCAATCACGCAACATTGGTAAGAACGTGATCTTGCCAATTAATTGGCGTGCCTTGTGTGACTGACAGTCATTGAAAATAAATTCTTATCATTGTTGATTGAACAGTTATCGGTTGGTAACTAGGTGCTGATATTTGTTTAGGCAATAGTGTGCATTTAATTTTCTAATGAAATTTAAAACCGTCAAGTACCCAATAATTTTGTTTTGGTTTCGATTGGGAGATAGTGCGTTTCTTAACTAACCTCAATAGTTATTCCTCATTCAAAACTTCTGCAGTTTAGAAATTACAACATTTTAATTCTGTTTCATACCTGACAAATTTCTTCTTGGTCTTCGAGTATGAAAATAAGGAATACAAGACTAAAAGAACAAACCACAGTTGCCATTTATGAGTAGAAGCGGAGTAGCGTGTTTGGTGTTCAGAAAACCGCAGGATTGTACACTTATGAGATGTCTTTCAACATATATGGACCATCGTTCTTTTCTTTATAATTCCCATCTTACCTTTCATTACTATTTTTCAATATTTCGCTCCGATGGTTAGAAATATATGATAGGCAATACCAAAAAATTTGGCGGCGTTTCTTGAACATAAACTGTGAGCGGAAGGGCTAACTTCACACCTATCAACAGAATTCGGCCGACACTGCAACACTACATAAACATCTAAATATCTCAGTTTTACGGATGGTCAGTTGCGGGCTGACCACGTCAGTTTCAACATCTTAAGATTTGAAGCTGGTCGACTTCGCTTCACGTCCACTGGAGAGCACCAGTTTCCTCGAGATTCTAGATAGGTTCACAGCAAAGATGGTGAGGATATTCAGTGCTTGACGATATGTTGTCTGTGACAATTTTTAGTGAAGGGTCCCAGAGCCAGATAAACTAGGGACCAGAGATGAAGGGATTTTGAAAATATATTCAAAAGATGGGCGGTGAGTTGAGAAGTACGTTGGCTCACTAGTTTCTATTAAGAATAAGTAAGATGAGGAATGAACTAGTCCGGAAATCAGATAACTTACTCCGGATAGGGTGTATTCGGCAAAGTTAATGAAGTCAGTGTCAATGTCGTAGGTTCAAAGAATTATAGATTTTTAGGATTTATTCTGTTCCAGGGTTTTTCAGTTGGGTCACTGGATCTCGGACAGATGATCGATCCCTGGTAAAGTCAAGGACAACAAACGCGCACCAGTTAATCATACGCTATGGACTGGCCCATGTGGTGATGGTCTCACCAACGTCTCTGTACTCATTCTCACTAATATATTTACCCATAGTACTTTGACACGTCGAAGAGGTAATCCACGTTAGATACTGACAGCGAGGTGTGACTTCGTAGTTAGCTGGTTCGTCACACTGTTCCCGTCTAACTCGAGTAGGCCTGCAATCATTCGACATAGACCATCAACGTTGATGGTCTACATTATCAATATCCCCGGAGATTTGACCGTTTTCGTAGGAGAAGTGATTGTTTTGGATGTAGAATTAGTACAACCAGAATACAAATACCTTAGTTTCCTAACTTACTAATTATTTGTGCGCGCTATTTAAAAAGGACAGTGGTATTTTTTCCTCGTTGAGTAAATTCTATTGTTTTGATCGTTATTAACGTATCAAGACTACTGTTTTTATACTTTGATTGAATTTCTTTCAGTTAAAGTATTCTATTAGAGTATCATCTTTGGTATCCTAAATAGTTTTATCGTCGGTACTCCAGAGTACCTTTTTTTCCATTGTGTCTGTTAGTACTTTGGTCCTAACTGTTTATAGTTTTTTTTTCTACTTGTAGTCAACACTCACTTTCGCATCCTAAAATGACTGGAAGATGCAACAAAAGCATTTGCCACCGCCCAGGATGTCGATATCCTGTTGATAGCGGCATGCAGTGCGATGAGTGCAAAGGTTGGTACCACGATGTTTGCACGAATCTAACACCTGCAGCTTTCAAGCGGTTTAGTAAAAATGGGTGTGTATGGCTATGTCAACAGTGCTGTTTGGATGCAAATAGCTTGTTAACCGAGGCCATTTCAATGGTAAATGCCGCAAAAAAGTGTCTCGGCAAACGCGGTCGGGATACATCAGTCAGAACTCAATCTGTCGACACGCAGATTGACACAAGGCAGGCCCAAGTGAGTCCAAAAACTGCCGACCCACACTCTACTAAGGAGGAAGAACATCCTCCAAAGAGGACTGTTACAACCAGAAACTCGCGCAAAAAAGTGGACTGGGGAAATCTGCGGACTGAATCGTCAGCAAACTCCTTCGAACAGGAACTAGTTGATGCGGTAATCACATGTGCCCTAGTGCAACACGTGAAGGAAGCAACTAGGTACGACCCGGGTTCTGCATCGTCCTTACTAGATCTTATATTGACTAATTATGAGGATGATGTTGCAAACCTGGATTACATGCCACCCGTAGGCAAAAGTGATCATGCAGTTTTAAGCTTTGACTTCCATATAACTGTCGATCACGAGTACGCTTCAGCTCAATCCAGACCTAACGTCTGGAAAGCAAACATAGCAGACATCATGAAATCAGCATCATTAGTAGATTGGAAATTAGATCCAGAGTCATCAATCGAAACGGCTTGGGACGTATTCCGGAATTTATACTTAAAAGTTACCACCCCCCACATCCCTTGGACTACACCTAAGAGACCGAGAAACTCCCCACCGTGGTTCAGTAGGGAGGTTCGCATCCTTCTCCGTAAAAGAAGGAAAATGTGGGACAGATTTAGGTTACTGTGGACTGACGAGGCGAAATCTCAGTATCAAAAGGCTCGAAATACCTGTGCCTCGACCCTCCGTAAGGCCAGAAAGCTGTACGAAGAGAAAATCGTTAGGGAATCCATAGAATGCCCTAAACGCTTGTATTCGTATATAAACCAAAGGACAAAAAGAAGAAGAAATGTTTCTTCACTATGGGGAGACAGTACTACCACATCACTAGTGGAGGATGACTTCGGCAAAGCTCAAGTATTCTCTAAATACTTTAGCGATGTATACACCATAGAAACACCCTTCTCACCAGTTCATGAAAATCCACCCACACAAGCACTGGACAGCGTAACCATTAAAGAACTCGATGTCTTTGGTCTGCTAGTTAAGCTTGACATAGGTAAATCCACTGGACCCGATGAACTGCATCCTAGGTTATTAAAGGAATTAGCTAACTTTGTTGCGAACCCTTTAAGTGTATGTTTTAATCTATCCGTAACCCAGGGTCGTCTACCAAAAGACTGGAAGAACGCCATAGTAAGTCCAGTCTTCAAAACAGGTTCAAAACATAAGCCTGAGAATTACCGACCAATTAGCCTAACTAGTGTGGTTGTTAAAATCTTAGAAAAGATTATTCGGAAGGAACTGTTAAAGTATCTCGATGAAAACCGGATCCTCTTCGAAAAGCAGCATGGTTTTAGAACAGGTTACTCTTGTCTCACAAACTTATTAGTCGCTCGTGAAAGCTGGTGCGCTCTTAAGGACCAAAAGTTACCTATAGACGTAGCTTACATCGATTTCATCAAAGCTTTCGACAAAGTTCCGCATAACCGGCTGTTATATAAGCTAAGGAATGTCGGGATTGGAGGCAATCTATTGATGTGGATAAAAGACTTCCTAGTTGGGCGTCAACAAAGAGTAAGGGTGAACTCCAAGTTGTCTAGCTGGGAAACTGTGCTTAGTGGAGTTCCCCAGGGTACAGTTTTGGGGCCAGTATTATTCCTCCTGTACATAAATGACCTCCCTCGTCTACTATCGTCATCGGTTTTCCGCTATGCTGACGATGTCAAGATATGGAGAGCGATACAAAGCAAGGGCGATAGCTTAGAACTTCAAAATGACCTGGAGAGATTATCTGAATGGTCCCAAACCTGGCAATTGCCGATAAACACTTCCAAGTGTATTGTGATGCATATTGGCCACCAGGGTACAGATACATACACGATGAATAACACTGAGTTACCTATTGTTCAGGCACACAACGACTTAGGCGTCATTGTCAGTCAAGACTTAAAGACTACTGCACACTGCCGTGCAATAGCCGCCAAAGGTTTTAGGACTTTATGGTCCATACGCAGGGCTTTTAGGCATCTTGACGCTAAAACGTTTTTGACTTTGTATACAGTGTTCGTACGCCCTAAACTTGAGTACTGTATACAAGCAGCTAACCCCTGCCTAAAAAAAGACAGTGAACTCTTGGAAAGGGTTCAGAGAACAGCAACTAGGCTGATTCCCGGAATAGCGAAGCTCCCGTATGGTACTAGACTGACCAAGCTAAACCTATTCCCGCTGTCATATAGAAGAATCAGAGGTGACTTGATTATAGTTTTCAAATTGCTTAATGACAAATTTGCACCTGATATGCCCTCATTTTTCTCGTCTTCCAAAACAGAAAATCTACGAGGACACTTCAAAAAAGTTCACAAGCCCAGAACGAATTACTTGTCAGCTGACTACCGACTTTCCCATGGAATAATCAACGAGTGGAATTCATTACCTCAGCACGTGGTTGAGGCTCCATCCGTCGACTTCTTCAAAAGAAATTTGGATCAGCTGAGAGACCATCATTGCCAGGACTAACACAGGCCATCAAGCCTCCTGTCCTTTCCAAACTGAAACTGATTAGCCGTATATCTAATAAGATTCACATGTAATATTACACCTGATACTTATACATAGGTGGATCATACAGGAAAATCTAAATATGTCAGCATGAGTATTACTTGAAGATATCTATCAATGTTGTTTAAACAGTTGAACTGTCTAGGTGACTTTATATTATCCAATAATCACTCGACAGGTTGGTGCGCGTTGTTTGGTGTTGTATATACGCGTCCACTATCACCTCTGCCAGCTGGCTCCAAGATGTCGAGGGTTTTCTTGATGTTTATTGTGGTGGCATTTCACGCATTGCCTCTGGGCTCTATAGGTTTGTTCACTGTATGAACTAGTCATTTTCCAGAGGCCATATCATCAATGTCTATAGACTTAGGGACCGAGTTTATGAAAGTTGCGGTGGTTTTGGTTTGTTCTTAGTAGCCTAATTTTGATTTACTCACAACTTTTAGCCTGGAAAACCCATGGAGATCGCCGTTGCACCGTGAGTTTTTTGTCATGATATCTATTTTTCAGTGATTCCAAAAGAAAAACTTCAACTGCAATCGGCTTCAAAAACAATGAAAGGTTATTCGGGAGTCTCGCAGTCAATTTGGTAAGCTCTTTATTGTCCTCGATATGTTTTCGTTCTGCTACAATTCATAATCAGAGCCACATTTTTTGTTGTGACGTGACTTAAGATAAATATCAATACCCTAGTACTGTCTGTGTACATAATATTGTACCAACATTCCATTAACAACGCTTAACTGCTTACTTTTGTCAGTGCTGCTATCTGGACAAAAACGGAATTTTTCAGAAATCCGTAAGGAAGATATCAATGCCGAAGTGGTTGAAACAGTGTTCTGGTTTACTTTCCAGTTGTTGAGTGTCTGATGCTTTAATTTATAGTCATCATAGAGCCTGGAACAAGCCGCCATACCAAATCATAGCAGGGCATAATACACACGATGGTTAGCGAAATAGTCGAAATAATATTACCATTTATGGTTCTACAAGAGAGGATAAGCTGAAGAAATGAAGGAAGAAATATTAAAACTCAACAGTATTGGTGACAAAGTGTAAACACATAGCCTTTATCATAGTCGTTTCTTTGCCGTTTCGCTTGATGTCTGTTCACCAGTTTTAACTCACGGGGTCGAACTAGATGGTTTAGACCTACCAACACGACAGTCTAACAGCCTTTGACTTAATGGACTAATGCTTTATCTCACTTGTGACAGTTAACTCCCAACTTATTCCTACTACAGCAAACATTATACTCCAGGATAGGTCGTGGTTAGGTGAACGTGATATGTCCCAGACATCTCAATCGATAAAGATTGTAATCTTAATAACCGATCTACTTAGTTTCCGACACCTGATCTTAACGGTAGTCACTCACTTGTCTTACAATAAGTAAGCAGGGCTCAGTAGGTTTTGTCGTCTGAGTGTCTTCTACTTTCTTATTTCACGGCCTTATATTAATACATAACGAACTATGGTGGATTGCTTTGATTATTGTTTAGGTGAAGCTTTGTTATTTGAGCTGGATGGTTTGGTTGTGGAGTTTTTATTATTCATACAAACATCGTCAACACAAACTTCAGGTGGCGACATCTGGCATGGTATTACCAGAATTCGATCCATTTGAAATATTTCCGCCAAATTTATCAGGCTTCATTAGAAAATAATGAAGCATTAAGATAATTAGCATCTGATATGACGTCATCAGAAATCTGATCAGAAATTGATTCATTTGAAATGTTTGTCTCGATGATTTTGAATTTCGCTCGATATAACTGGAGAGTTGGAGTAATTGCGATCTGATTAAAAAAACATTTAAACATTACCCAGAATTTACCTTATTAAAGATTCTGTTGGCTTCTTTCTCTCACAAAACTGTTGCTGATTGCAACGGACAATGTATTTGTTACCTCGTCAAATATATCAATAAATTCGAAGTGCGATTACGGACTTGATTGTTTAAGCATGTCTTCCTTCAATGCACCGGTGAGCATTAAACGAAATCTAGTCAACACGTCATTAAATTGAAGCATTGATTTTATTTCTGCAACTGAAACTGATATGTTCATACATTAGTAACTACGTCGTTTATTGTAACGGCGACGTAGAAAAAAAGTATATTTACGACTGACAAACCAGGATTTGTGGGTAACTTGAACTAAAAACGGTTATAAATGAAACCAGACGGTTATACTGTAAATTGAAGCTTGTTAGTTGACTCCATCGGCAATTGTTATGGCTTACGTTAATTTAATACGAAAACATAGTATCTTGAATAAACATCAGACTCAAGTAAATAAATGTCATAACGAATAAAATATCACACTGAAAAGCAAAACAAATATTACTTTGAATAATCATCACATTGAAATAAAAATGGAAGGAATATTGAACCAAATTCACAATTATTAAGAGAATGTGATTTTGCCTTTTCATTCTGTCATATTGCATATTTCTAGTGGTCGACTAAATTATAAAGACCTCCACATCTCAGAAGAGGCATGAAATACAATGGACAGCTTGCACGCAGCTAGACGACTCGGACTTGGCAGATGACGTAGCTCTTCTATCCCATACACACCAACAAATGTCAGTGAAGACAGTGCAGTAGAAACCTCTGCAAAAGTAGGTCTCAACGTACACAATGGAAAAAGCAAGATCCTGAAATACAATACATAGCATCAACCCAATTATACTTGATGGAGAAACTCTAGAAGAGGTGGAAGCTTTCACGTACCTGGTCAGCATCATCGATGAACAGGGATGATCCGAAGCAAATGTACATGGAAGAATTAGCAAAGCAAGGCAGTATTCCCACAACTGGAGATCGTATGGAACTCAAAACAACCGTCTGCAAGCCAACATTCTAGTCACGATTTTCAATACGAACGTCAAGACAGCTCTACTGTATGGAGCTGAAATTCGAATAACTACTACAACCATCATCAAAAAGGTACAAGTATTTATAAACAATTGTCTACATGAGATACTCAATATCCATTGACCGGATACCATCAGCAACAACCAACTGTTGGAGAGGACAAACCAACCTCCATCTGAAGAGGAAATTCGAAAAAGACGTTGAAAATGGATAAAACACAGATTACGGAAATTATCAGGCTGAATGACGAGGAAAGCCCTAACTTGAAATCCTGAAGAGGAACGGGAACGAGGAAGACCAACGGACACATTGCGTCGGGGATCGGAAGCAGACATGAAAGAATGAATAGCAGCTGGAAGGAATTGTCCAGGACAGGGTACTATGGGGAGTGCTGGTGGTCGGCCCATGCTTTTTCACGAGGGGTAACAGGCGTAAATAAGTATGTAATATTATCCCATGGCTTCATTTCTATCAGAATGTAAGTCTAATCATATACAATCTGCGCTAGTTCTTAGAACCTGACCGACTGTGTATGTGGTTATGTTTTTCTCGATTTCATTGTCCGTTGTACATCAAGATAGTGTGTTATATTTCGCTACAAATGGTCTCGTAACAGTAAGGTTGTTTAGTGCACGATTAACTTTGAAATATCTGTTGCCTTATAATATTTCTCAGTTCTGCAGTTCGTGTTAGATCATGTGTCTATACGTATACTTGCATGACTTGCTTTTTGTCGGGCGATGAGTTTGTCCATTCATTTTAGGTTGCACATTTGCTGTTGTAATTGTTAGTAAAGCAAAACCTGTGTATTGGAAAGTCATTTAAACGTATTGTGTCAATATTATTCTTACTTTTGTAGGCTTCTAAAAGTCCCGAATACGTATTCCAGTCCATTCCGTCTCTTCTTGGGAAGTCTATAGATCATCCAATGGTTAAACTTTTTCAGGAACGTTATCCTTACCACAATTTGTCTTATAATGCCACATCTGGACAACTATTTTTCACTCTAAAAGATGGTGTGGTGTTTTCGGTTGATGAACTGGTTGCTATGCTCTTTGAATATGCCCACAATTACGCTGAACTTTATGCTGGTATGTTTTCCTTTGGTTTCAGAGACTATCATCAAGCTTTATTTATCATCTCACAGCAACTGTTAAATTTTAATTGCGACACCTTTTGCTTTATAATTATAGAGTTGTATCCAGTGAAATAAATAAGTACTCTGGTAGACCTAGTGTGTAGATTTCTCTAGTCTTTTGGAACAAATTACTTGTACGTTTGAATTAAATATAATCTAGCTAAGGAAAAATTTGCATACCAGTTGAAGTTGACAATAAGATCTGAGCGGCAACCGGCAGTTTGTCTTCAAAAAGACAGGATAAATACCTAATAGAAAATTTAGTATTATCAAGAGTTCATGAAGTTATTTCATAACTATAAGAATGGGCACAAAATAGTTCTTTTATTTGTGTGATCATGTGATTGGGGATATGTAGAAACTTAAACAAATCTACACCAGACCAAAACTAAAGCTGTCTGTGGCAAGCTAGACTAGACTTGGTCACAACTGGTTGTGTGTACAGAACTGCAGTGGTAAAAGTTCTGCCGCATATTGGTAAAATGTAACCACTCCATGCTGTTATTTTGTAAATCTCCGTGCTTTGGATTATCGTCTATGACTAAGTGCCCGCATATGGCAGCAAAATCTCAAATAAACTCAAGGATTGGGGACCCATGTTTGGGTCATAGGGAAAAGTATAATTTAATGGATGCTATAGTCTTAAATAACTATTCTTGCTATCCACCGGATTTGGCGCTATTTGGTGGTGATAAAAATGTATTAAATAACAAATATTTGGTCATTTTGTGATCACATCTTGAAATGCATTGTAGTTATGCCGCTCCATCATTTTGTCGTTCACTAGAAACCTCGATGGTGGCTTTAAGATAATATAACTTTTCCAAGTTGGTATGTTACCGAATAAAGCTTAAAATAGAAACCAGTAGCAATGGTGTTATAGTTTTATGTGGTCTTCTTCAGTTTTAGTAAGATAAACCTCAGGAGACCTATCGTGGTTGTGATGTAATTTGAAGCTTATTCTTTAATACATTCTGAACTTTGGCTTTTACTATTTCGAATATCCTCCAAATATCACTATTTCATTTTGTGTGGCGCATATAAATAAATAAACAGGTTGATAGGTTTAATAATGTGCTGTAATATAAATTTTTTTCATAATTACTTTTTCCAGGTTCTATTATCAAGACTTGCGTGTTGACTGTACCTAGCCATTTTGGTCAGGCTGAAAGGCGTCGCTTGATACAAGTGTCTGAAATAGCTGGCTTAAACGTTCTTCAAATAATTAACGATAATTCTGCAGTGGCTCTAAATTTCGGTTTGCTCCGTTTTAAAAGCTTCAACGAAACACCTCAATATTACGCGTTTTTTGATATTGGTTCCATGAGTACAACTGCAACCTTAGCAGGTCAGTTAGAGTTGTTAGTTTTAACTTCTGGGACATATTAGTGATGTTTAGATGATGTGATTTGTTTAGCATTCCATCGCTATTTGTGTTATCATGTCTGAATATTATAAGAGTTATGAAAATAATATCGTCGTTTGATTTGATTTTTTAAACGAAAGGACACTGATTTTATTGGCCTCATCAGTTTAGTTTAAAACGTAAGCATGTATCTACTAGTTATATTAAATGTCTGTAGTCCGCCATCTCAGATTGCATAGTTTAACTGTGAACAATTTAGTTCATATATAGCATTAAATTAGTCGTGGCTGTACAGTCTTTAGGCTTCTCAACTCAAACGTAACACTTGTTTTTTTTGTCAGTTTTCTCTCAATTTCATATTTTGTTCCTCAGGTTATCGCAATGTACTGACAGTAGAATAAGGTTTGAGAAAACATTGTTGGGACCACAAAATCCAGTTTATGACGTTATTGATTGTGGATATGAGTTATGTAAGATGGTGAAGACTCTCGTAGTGGCTTAGCCTCGTTAATCAATCACTTTGATTACCGTTACTACATAAATCCCAACGGTGTTTGAAATCAGAAAGCAATAAGAAACGGCGACTGCAGTTTATTGGCGGATAGCACGGATAACAAAGTTATGAGCACATCGGATGGATTTGAAGCAGAGATGCGAATATGTGTGAGCAAGCGAATACAGAGGTGAATTTATAGTCAAATACAATCAAGGCTCAGCTAGGCAAGGCAGAGGCTAATAATGGAATTCGAGTACATATATACATGGAGAAGAGAATGATTCATCGAGCGTATTTTAAGCTATTAACATTTTAGCTAGAGGGACTTGTGCGTAGGCTGCAACATGTGATCATAATAGTACAAAGAAATTAACGAATTGTTACTGTTCGAATAACATTACCTGTTAAGTAAGTTAATAAAAGGGTTTAACAAGATTGAACCATAATTGAAATCGATTGTAGGAGAGCTGCTATACTCAGTCAGTCAGTCAGCTACAACTTAGGATCAGGCACATATATGGATCGGTTGAAGTTGCCATATTTCATTATCACAACAAGATGAACAAATTCATAGAATTAGTTACTTCAACGGTAGTAATATATGAAAGAAAGATTGTGTTTAAGGATATAATACAGGAAGGAAGGATTAGTTTGTAGAAATATAGGTATAAAGCAATCCTAATCTCACAGTTTAATGGAAGACAAAGAGTATATACATCTACGCCATTGTGATCGATTCTGAGCCATGTCACCTAGAGTCTCCAACTATTGGTTATGATAATCACGCGGACCCCAACCACGTAGTCTGCATCTACCGACATGACTCAAACTAGGAGTTAGTGCCTTCAAGAACTAATGCCACGTTTTGTTTTGACCACCCCTAACTTTCTTCCAACCATCTCCAACACTAGTCAGCATTGCGCATCGTCGTAGTCAGTGGTTGGGCATACGTAACGACCATCTCAGTCGATGAAGATTTACAACTTTTTCAACTGATTTACCATCATTCCCTAATACCCTGCGTCTAACCTCACTATTAATCACCAGGTGATCCCAACAGATGCTGGCAATATTTCTAAGACATCTGTCATCAAATACTGGTAACTTAGAATTATCTTCTACTCTCCTGCTTCATTTTGGGAACCTGGGCAGTATCACAGTCCTCACACAAATCAAATGAGATTTGTGCGGCGGATATGTATCTGGTGCCCCTTTGTAATAATAATTATTATTTATCTCCACTCTGGTCGTAAATGTTTCTCCTCTCGTCATTTGTTTGCACTCATGAGTTTCAATCTCTCTACTTTACATGATTTCCCTACCAGTTTTGTTGATTTTCCTTTCCCATGTTACTGTTATGGCAGCTTCAACCTATGCTTCGTACTGTAGTATGATTCTTTATCTGCCACTGTCATTTTTAAACGGAAAGATTATTTCTGTCTATTTGTTTGCTCAGTTTTAAAGTTTTCCCGATTATTTTTTTCGTTGAGAAAATCTGATTATTTCTCGTGGTTTTGTTCCATAGCATACTCATATGGGAAACACAGAGATGGAGATGTTGTGGGAGATTTCCCGATGTTAAGAATTGCAAATGTCAGGTAAGTTATAACAAAATTATAATACAACCCGAATACTATACTTTTGTTCATATAATAATTATTATATTATAAGCCGTGTTACTTGAGTTAGCCAGCTTTGAATGTTTGCAACCCCTGACGCAGCTAAACCTTCTGGTTAAGGATGTCTACTTGCTCTTAGACTGTGTAAGTCTACAGGTAAGCGATCAATTGCTGATGAGCGAGGCGATAAATAAATTAGATTTTGGAGAATCCTATGACAGATTGATTAAACACAAGACGGCAAACAACTTACGTCAGCGATATTTGGTGTAATAACGGACCTAAATAAGGGTATAGTTAAGTTTTTCACTAGGTTGATGTTGTAAAACATTCATACATTCATTTATTCTAAATCATTCATTACAGTCGTTTAAAAGATTACCAAGTTTTTCATTGATTTTACTTTACAGACCTGACTGTTAGCTTGATTTCATTGATGACATTTAGTTAAGAAATGTAACGATACTTTTTCGAAACTTTTGTTGTTTTGAAAATATACGGTTTTAATATATTTTTCCTTAAGTATGTGATGTTAATCACTGGAAAGTTCAATCACCCTAAATATATCATGTTAAAACAGAGAAGCTTACTGTTTTCATATTAAATTCTTTAAAACTGCGTAGTCTGAAAGTCATTAAAGCTGAGAGATTATTTAGAGAATATAAATTTAAAGTTCTAAGCAATATATGCATCGGTAAACCGGTTCAGATTTACATTTACAACTTTGTAATGTTTTGTTTTTAGTCATGATCCAACATTCGGTACACAGGTTTTCATTTATCGAATAAGAGATCACTTATTGGAAAAATTCTGTGAAATAAAAAAATTAGATAAAGATCTGGTGAAAAAAAGTCATCGAGCTATGTCTAAACTGGCTTTAGAGGCCTCAAACGTGCTTACCAAACTTAGTGCAAATTCCGAAATATTCGCCCAGGTAATTGTGAATGTTTTTTGAGCGATGTGTTATTTACAGATTTTATTCGTATTTATGCAATTAGCCGTTTAGTTTTACTCAACGAAGTAATTGTCTGTATGTAATTCGTTTTGGTTTTGTAATTTTATGATATAAATGGTGAGACTATAATTTAAGGACGACCTTTGGGTGATCCTAAAGTGGCTTTCAGAATGTTCACCTACTAACTTGGGCTGAATGAGGGTTATAGAGCAGTGTGAGGAGTTAGAATTATGATTTACAGTTGATAGTTAGGGTTAGGAACTAGATTTAAGGTTTCCATCACTAATTGACAAGCTAAAATACCAAAACTCTGTTATCTTATATCTGATTGGTTCGTCCATAAATTATAGTCTTGTCATATAGATAGAATATTCGTCGATAGTAGTACGCAAATTTATGTGATCGTTTCTTACTGGTTGACAAAGAAGTGATTCAGTAATGTTGAGATACTGCATATAGGTTATAATCTATACGAAAATGCATAGATGATAGACATTGAAAATTATTTGAAATACATATTCACACAATTCTTTTTGCAATTTAGAATTGTACAATTTACTACGTAAATAACGCTCGTCTTATTCAGCAACGTATTGTAATGTTTATGTCGAAGAATTACATAACACAGTGAAACAAGTTTTCTGCGGCTTTTTTTTCTTTTTGCACCATGTAAGGTGGAAAATTTGTTTAATGGAGAAGATCTTAAAGTTAAAATTACTCGTGCTGAGATGGAAACATTTTGCTCTGATCTGTTCGAAAGAGTTAGACGACCATTTTCCGATATCATGGTCGATTTTCCAATGGAGTCGTTACAACAAGTTATTTTAATGGGTGGAGGTACAAGAATCCCAAAAATTCAATCTATTCTAATCGAGCATAGTCAAAAGTAAGTTGTTTTATCCTAACTTCTAGCCCAAACTACCTAGTAGGACAATTCTCATTTTCGTTTCCAGCAAATTCACATGTAGTTATTTTTATGACCCGTTTCGTTTATTTTACTACGAAATTACTGTTGGATTTATTTTTTTAAGTATCATTTTCAAGCACGCTTCATAATGTAATCTTATCAAAGTCTTGGCGTGATTGTAGTCACGAACTGTAGGATACATTATGTTTCTAAAATGTAACCTAATACTATCACTAAGGAATAAATATTAATCAGTTAAAAAAGAGTGAATCATATCCAATAGTAATGAGAGGTGCAATAAAATGAATAACATTGATACTCATAAAAAGAGTACAGTTTCATTGACTGCTGGTTTTACGAAGTCAGGCTACATCAGCGTTATATTGAGTTAAATTGATGAGAATTTTGAGTAATCCACTTTGTAATGGATACAACGAACAGTTACGAATTTCGGGTGATATGATAGACTCCTTAGTATTTTAGTTTGTTTTTGGTACAATCTTGTTACACACTATGTACTACTATTCTGAATGTACAATACTTCTGTTAACCCGAGATCATTTCATGTCATTTAGCTGTCCAACATTTGTCTGGTGTAATCAATATTCAAACCGTTTTTATATAAAAGGAAACCAATTTTCTAATTTTATGTCAATGAGTTGTAGTTGAATTTTATTGGAAAAAATTGTTATTTATTGATGAACTTATGTGTTTAAAATAGTAATTTTTCAAAGTATGTGATTGGCATCATAATATCATGCAATGTTTGGTGAACATTATAAAGCTCTAGTCATCGTATATTTTGAAGTCAGTTCGCATAACGAACTGAAATTAACTGAAGAGCTATTGGAAACTAATGCGGATTAAATAGCTGTTTCATTCTCGTTCCGAACTCCTCAGCAATGAAAACCTATGGAACTCCAAGGGAGTAAATCCAGGGTCATCATATCTTGCGCAATGTATGATACTATAAAGATTATATTTCAATAATTTTTTATCATGAACTCAGTCTATTGTAATTTTGTACTATTTTTACCTAGGTCAGAATTACACAGAGGTGTTAATAGTGATGATGCTGCCGCATTGGGTGCCGTGTATCAAGCTGCATTTCATACTCCTGGGTTTCGTGTTACTCGTTTTATTGTTAAAGACTATAATCTTTATCCTATTGCTGTAAGTTTCAAATAAATTGTTAATATATGTTTCTTACTTATTTGTCCTTACGTTTAACACGCCTATCACTGTTGTTAAGGTTTGTTAAAACTAAGAATCTAACTCATCGTGTATTTGTAAGAATTCTGTAGTGATAGTCACAGCCTGTTGTAAGTAGTTTGCGTGCGGGACATATATAAACTCACTGGAATGATTCGGACTGTACTAATTTTCAGATATTCGATTGCTTGGCAACATTGGTAATCTAAAATTTAAAATGTACAAACATGGAAAATTAAGAATTTAGTATGATGTCACGGTCAACAGTCTCATGTTTCACATATTTGTAGTCATCTAGGTGTCACGGTATAATTGACAAAGGTTCAGTTATGTTATAACTACAGTTTGAACTTCCGAAATAAGGGAAATGAAGTTAAACAAATCCATAAATACTTGACTTTTGCTCTATTTTCCATTGTTAAGTACCGTTGGAGCATACAGGTGACCTCTTTTCTCCTCGTCTTTGTTGTTTCATTAGTTTAAATTCTCTTTTCTTCCTGCTCTGTATTTTAGAAGTTAGCATCTGAATCTTATGCATATATATATATATGTTTTAAATAATGTTGCAGGTTGATTTTATGCGTGCTCCACCGTTACCAGGCGATAAATCAGACAACGATTTACATATTGAAGATCAACAGGATGAGTCTTATGTTCGACAAGTTCTTTTTCCCCGTGGAGCTATTTTCCCTCAAAAACGTGCAATCAAATTCAATCGACATATTACTGACTTAGACTTCTATGTTAATTATGTCGATCGTGATGGAGATGCTGCTCGGTAAACATTGTTCCGTTAGTTATTTTGAAATATTTTTGACGATTACTTGCAAGTGGTTAATTTTTTTCTAAAGTTTACTAGTTCATACTATCGTTTCTTATGCGTGAGGCAAACCCAAATAGCCTAACAGTTGAAATATCTATACTTCATAACTTCGTTGTCAGATATATCATATTTACATAGTACTTTTTATGTCATCAATGGAATTACGTATACATTATTCGGTTAGAAAAAATTCAGTTTTGATCCACCCCTCTGAATATATGACAATATGAATGGCAGCCAGAGAATGGATAATAACTTAAGGTAGTCAGCGTATGGAAGCGGAAATAATTCGCATTTTTGCTGTTGTGGAAAGTGAACATTTCTCAAATGGTATACACTTGGGGTTAGTTGTTCTTAAACAGACTAAGAGATCTCTACTTGTAGCATCCAGTGTTTAACTATAATCAGATTTCTTCACCATCACATCTCGCTTTCCTTTTTCTGACAACTTAAACTACTTATTTTAAAGCAGTTAAATCTATTTGATAGATGTTCGTATCATTAGCTTAAATTCCTTCTCTGTTCTAAAGAATCCACTTGTCTGTTTCAGGTGCTTCGTCAGTTGTACCGAATTGAATTAGGCTGTGTATCTATTGGACATATTGTCACCTTATCTACTCTCATATTAATTATTATCATCCCCAATACTTTAAAATTATTTCTGATTGTTCGTTTAATCTTTAGTTTCCAAGGTCCAAACTACAATCTTAGTCATATCACCACGAGAAATGTATCAATAGCAGCCAAACACTATTCGTTTGCTGAGCCTCGAGGTGTCAAAGCACATTTCATTATGGATCACAATGGAATTCTTGTTCTTAATGGTGTAAGTTGTATATTTCATCCTATTGAAAAAAGTGGAATATCTGATGATTCAAATAAGGCGAAATCTACTTTTGAAAGTAAGTTGGTAAATAATATTCTGTAGTCTTTCGTTGACATATTTACTTTAAGTTAGTAGGCACTAATGTACTCTTTCGCACAGTTCTATTTAATTGTACTGGTAATAGTTAAATGTGAAAACAAATATCTAGTTTGTATCTAGTTTGTTCCATATCCAAACAGATTGTATTCAGTAACATTTCACTAATTTTCTTTATTAGTGCTACTGAAATGGTTGTTCACTCCAATAGCTCATCATATTTCAGTGTTTAGGTATTAGAATTGTTAACATTGTAACCTCTCGGTTGAAATATAATACTGTTTAAGTAGACTTATAGAAAGGATAGTTTGTTTGTCAACCTCAGCCATCATTATTTCTTCTACTGTTCTGTGTTTGTGTAAAAAAGGTTTTTCTTTTGATCATGTTAGTCTGTATATATAGATAATCTGTAGATACTTTTAAAACATTTGACTATTAAATTTTTTTTGTTTTTCGTTTATAGAAATTGGTAGTACTTTAAGTGGATTATTCGGTGGAGGTGATAGTACGAGTGTTGATAAAAATGTACCCGAAAAGGATACTGGTGTCAACGCAACAGATGATGGTGATGTTAATTCGACTCATGTCAATACAGTGAATATTACTAAAAACTCTGTAAGTTTACTATCATTTCTTAATAATTAAGATTAAATTTGGTGTTTTTCTATGATTTTTTCTAAAGTGATATATTAATGGTTATCGTTTTGCGTAATAATTTTATATGGATCGTAAAGAAATGTTGTCTGGGGTAACAAACACTTTAGGATTATCCTAAATGATCTGGTCCAAAAGTTAATATACATAAACTCCTTGTAAATTTTAAAGTTATTCCCCCTGTCTTTCAGTCTGCTGTAATTCATCCTGCCGTGTTACTTTTGTAAGCTACTATTGTACATAATGTTAAGAAATCAATAGAGCGGTCGCTCAATGATTAGGGGACTCAGCTTTCAGCCACTAAGTTGAGCGTTCGAGTCTCTCTTCACTTCTCTTCGGGCAATTGGCTAGTATTGTTGTGATGGAAAACACAAGTGGGGACGACGAATTGTAATTTAATGCAAAATTGGAGTGATTTCATCAAATGTGAAAAACTTATGTTCAGTACTTCATTCGCACATCTTCCATCAATTGTCTCAAACTTCATCAATTCTTCATTGCCATAACAATTACTCTCTATTTTCGTTCTCTTTGACTCGATTATCTCAACCTCCTGCTGCTTGGTTTTCCACTTCCGATTGGTGTTACATACTACTTATGTTTGTGGACATAAGCAGCATACACCACAGTATAACTAATTTTCACACTTGGAGTGTGGTTTAAAGTCAAGTACATTAATATGTGCTTGGTAGATTAGTGTTAAGCAGTAAGATAGATTAAACCAATCCATCCTATTACCATAGGTCTTATATTCCTTAGCTTGTTTGTCGGACTGCTGAGTATGTATTAGCTATTAGAACGAAAATGTGTTGTTAGTTGATGATCACATTGACTGACGGGTTTTACCAGTAAAATCATTGTAGCATAAAAGCTGTCGAGTTTTTTGATGGTTAGTCCAAACGGATTCACACAATTTTCTAGACCATGTAGCTTTGATGTAGTGATTATAGAGTTAGCCAATTGATGATCTAGTTAATTTACTGTAAAATTTTACAAATTTCAAGTAAACTTTTTTTGTGGGTTTCGTTTATCCATTATATAATGTGGGGGATAGACTGCTTTTAAATTTTTAGCAGTCTAATTTCACTAAAATTTTGAAGTAATTCCTTTGAAATGATTTCATTCGAAAATCAAAACATCTTTCACAATGACTTAGATATTAGACTGCCAATTCGTTCTCTTGTTCTCAGTGCCGTCATCAGTATATATATATATATATATATATATATATATATATATATATATATATATATATAATGAACTCCTTGTCTACCCCCAAATTCTAAGCTTCTGAATTCGTCATACTTTCTTTTATTTCACTAATTTATATTCCCTTAAATCGTATCTTCGATGCGTGATCTTTTCTCTTACCACTAATAATGTTAATACCTCTACTACTCTGGAATTCGCCATGCTAATAGGATGTGGCAATTTGAACCGTTGTAAACACGTACCACGTTTTTTTCTCTCGTTGGACTGACTGACTGGTATAATGAGATATAACTTCTTTATTCCGATTTTTATAATTATTTTAGTGTGCCCAATTTACTTCATCGCTAATTATTAATTACAAACCACTCAACTGATATCTATCACAAATATCTTTTTGTTGTATGTTCAATGGCTTTATTATGACCTCATTTTTTATAATTGTCATAGAAAATCTATTATTTCTGTTCGGTTTAAATACAATTACAGCTATTGAGTTTCTTTAACTGTTCCAGACTATTTTAAACAACCAAACTATTTCTGTTAATGATGATGACGTATCTGGGAAAGATCAATTGACAGTAGATGTGAAGGTAGTTTCTTTGCATCCCGTTGTAATTTGCTTATATTTGTTTTCATTGAATAGTAAAATCTTATTATTTATCTTTTAATTCAAAGATTTTGATCATAGGTCCTTGTTGCTATAATTAATTTTGTTTTGTGTTTTCATCGAACCATGCATGCATACTACCTATGCAATTTGAGTTTCATTCCTCATTTAAGCTTATTATGTATATCTGTTCATTTTTTTATTATCATATTATTGTTATTTTGTACATTAATGACAAACTATTTTAATGATTTGTACACTTCACTTTTACCTTTCAAAGTCTACAGAACCATTTTTTGAACCTATCGACTATGAAGCTGTTTATTTAGATTTTCCTGACTTAACTGCTAAAGAATTGATTGTGTCACAATCTAAGTAAGTTGTAAAAAAATCCTGTCTTTTTAAAGGGTAATTATATTGAGTAATTTTCTTATTATATTTATATTCATTTTATTGACTTTTTACTCAACCTTGATACTTTAGATACTATTACCAAATCTTATATAATTAACTTGATATTGAAACGGGACAATTTAATTAGATGCATTCTCGTTGTACTCATGCTTTTTTAAATATTCTGCACGGCTCTATAAATATCCACTGATTAGTTCTGGGCTTCTAACAACCGGTTTCATTTTATTTATGTCTATATCTGCGACACGAGGACATAAGATAAATTATTACCATGCTATCGTATAATAATGTTTTGAGAGTAGGAGCATAATTTCTTTACTGTTTTCTGCAGAAGAGCATGGTTTATTATGGTAGGGATATTTCATAGATCGATTAAGCTTATGAATGTAATCTGACATCAAAATTTCCACATATTAATAAATAATGCGTTTTTAGCCGTCATTCCTTTAAAGGTAATAATCTTTTTATTATGTTATAGATATATATTTTCTGTTTTTCATACAATTCACTGGTCTATGTTTTTTGTTGCATTAAGATTGGAGAAGTTACGTGAAGCAGCTAAAGAGAAAGCTGCTTTGGACCAATCTATTAATCTACTTGAAACCTTATTGATTAATACAAATGATATGATTTCAACTGATTACAAGAAATATGGTAGTGAAGAGGAACTTAAACATTTGGATAATGTATTACAAACTGCATCCAGTTGGTTTGATGAACAAGGTCATAATGGTTTAAAGAACGTGAGTTTATCATCATTTATACTTTTCTTGATGTCACAGAATGTAGTAGATTATCATTTAAGTAGAGATATTAAACAATCAGTTAATCTCATATTTATGTGATCCTATTGACTTTAACTTTGTTAAATGAAGAAGATTTCGTGTAGTAAATTATTTATCAAATATTGTATATCTATACCGTTGATTAATTGAATAAATCCACTCTCTTTGATCATGCTAAGAAAGTTTTATCATTTCAAACTAAAAACGAATATTTCGACGAGTTAATACAGTACGGATCTGTAGTTTATAAGGCATTATTATTTTTAAAGTATTTTTAATTATTCTTAAAAATAAAATGTATAAATTCTCTTTCGATAAACATTATGATCATCATGTCTTCGGTAGTTGACAAATACTTGATTTTCATAGTTGAAAGCGTGAGCCAATTGAAGCTAAACCACCAAGGAAAACCTGGAAGAAGTGGACGGCCTTTTCGTTCTATTGTGGGACACTGCGCTCAGAGAACAAAATTCCATCAAAATTATCCATTTGAGATGCAAATCTTCTCCACCATCTCACAATGTCCTTCCAAGTAGAAGGATTTCGTGTTCACTTCTTTATCTGATTCTATTCACATGACTAGGTGGTTTCTTCGTACATTATTGTGGGAATCTCTTACAGCCAGCAGTTTCACAGCATACTTATACAGAAGCATAAACATTAATAATTTTTAGTGTTAACTTTATAAATTCATGCAAATTTATTGTTCATGGTTAATTTGTAGCATATTCATATGTATTTGCATCTTACTCTAGAATCAACTTGGTACCAAAAAAGCTATGGCTGTTTGCATCCATTTAAAACCTGTGCCTCAATTATTTTCAGAAGCAGGGAGTTAATAGTAATTATCGCCGTCACTAAGTGACATTGATCGCAAATAACTCTTTGTACTGCTTGTCCTCATCACTCCGCTTCTACATTCCTGTGCAGGATCAATCTCAGAGCTCTTACGCATTACAGTGAGCAAGATGCCAATAAGTTGTCGATTGTCATCACTGCTTATCTAAAATTTAGTAAATAATAAGTAAAAAGTCCCATTTATCGGTACTGCCAATTAAACGTGTACTGTTTATTAAAATATCAAAACAAATAGTATATAATGAACATTGATCTTGACTACATAGTTGTTTATTTACCGTGCTCGTTCAATCATCATTCTGAATCTGTGCATATTCACTCTTTCTAATTTTTCATCATATCATGTCAGTTTATCGGGTGTTACGAATACTATTTGGATATTTTAAGAAAAAAATACTCAAATAATAAAATACGTAATCAGTATAAATTTTCAATTATTTTCTAGGATTATGATATCAGAATAAAAGAAATCCAATCGTTAATTATTCCCATTCAGAGAAGATCTACTGAAATTAAACATCGTGCGAAAGCAATACTATCGTTTAATAAAACAATCGAATTAGCCCAAAAAACATTGAATGAAATGGTTGAGTTATCAAAACTGTTTTCGCAAACATTAAGAACCATTCCATCTGAACAACAACAAAATGCATCAAGTAATAGCTCTGAACAAACTTCAGAAGAATCACTACCATGGAAAAATATCTTCAATGAAGTTGAAATTGATACACTAAGAAATAAAATGGGTGAATCAAAGGTAACATTAGCTAGTTGTATCAGTGTTTTTTTCTATTACAGTATACAGTGTTCATACGGATGAATGTATGTTGAGTAAAGAACTATATTATTGTGTCATTCATGGTGACTCTCTATATATAATTGAAACATGACAATAAGATTTACAGTCGTATGATTAGTTGAAATGATAGATTGATATTAACCACTGCACGAACTTATCTAACCTTTGGATATGTAATTGTAACTTTATTGGTTAAACTGTTTGCATTCATATATAGTTTTGTCCATGTACATTTCCTACATATTTGTGCTTGTTTATGTTCGTTTGTCTATTTTACTCTATCTACTTTCATATAAGCTTTGACTGTTACTAGTCAAAGACCATCATTCATACGCATGAAGTATAGATATTCGAGAAACTATTCGTTTCAAACTTTATATCTTTATAGGTATCTATACAAAGGTTGGACTTGATAATTTAAAATAAATTGAGCATTGGTTAGAGAGTTAATAACAAATATATTTTTATTTCTATTTTGTAACAATGTAATAAGTCGCAAAAATATATCCGAAGTTAGAATACGTATTTTATCGATGGTCATCCTGTGGAGTCAGGTAGAGTGATTAAACATCACAATATAAATTATCGATATCAGGTTTTATATAATCATTAATATAATGTAAATAGCGCTTTCCCCTGCTTAATGGATACAAAAAAAGTTATCGGTTTTTTGGTTGACAAGAAATAGTGAGGTAAAATGTAAACTAGTTCCAGTTATTCTTTACCGTTGTATCGTATACTTTATACACTAGGTTATATGTATATATGCATACAACTTACTTTCAGACTTGGTTAGCTGAATCTACCGAAGTTTTAGACAAATCTCCAACATACGAAGATCCTCCGATTTTGGTTTCTACTATTCAAAGTAAAGAAAGTGAATTATCCCGAGAAATCTACTATTATACCACTAAAATGAATTTATGGAGATCAGAAATCGCGCGTATGTTTGCTGAACAAAGCAAAATGTATACTACAGATCCACTAAAAGGTTTGTAGTTGTAATTGTTTTTGTGGACAAAGTTTGTGTTTGGCCATACATTTTATCTTTCTTACTTTTCAAAGAGTTATTCACGCTTTTATTTATACAGTCAACATTAAACAAAACATGAGATATACTGTAGGGGGTACCTGAAGAAGAATAAAGATTAGATTATCAAATTTTTCACGTAATCTTAGTGTCGATCATAGTTCTGTTAAATCTACTTTTTTTGAGGATATAAACATGAAGTGGCTTTTATGAAACGTCTTTCTCGACAACAAATATTTTCTCTTGATAGCTTAAATCTCAAACAGATCCTAGCTAGACCACCGTTGAAAACCTGGAAACACTGGATAGTTGGTTTGTTCTAATATGAAATCCTTCAACAGTTGCTATTCACGACTGCTGAGAGGAACTAACTTTGGACTTTTGACGTCATTCCTGAAGTGAACCGGTATTCAATCGTTTACACGTCTAGCTCCAATCAATTGGCGATACTGCGCGGCTGTCTTTCATCATCCACAGTGGGTAACTAACTCCCACCCGATATAGTTGAGATCCACTGGTCACAACATCTGACTAGAACTTCAGGAATAGCATCTTAAAACTAGTCACTAAAGAACACATGACTATTATTAGTATATGAGGGTTTATGGAGATGGCAGAATTTTCTAAGTCACGAACAGATCCTAGCTAGTGTTGATCGAAGTTGGATGTGTACATCATTGGATACCAGGTAGTAATTTAAAGTTCAAGCTGTCAGACACAGAACCTTCGGTTGTGCCTCTGATTCTCACTGGAGTTTTGCGTTCGCATTGTTGTGTAGTTCCATAATAGGACGAAACAGCTGTATTGGTACTTCCTAGTTTTCAATTATGTTCCAGATAAGATCAGTTCATTTTTCAAACTACGAAAATTCTGCAATCTCTAACACGACCATGCCAGAAATATTCCATTTTCTTCCTTTTTTTAAAATAACTACTGTTTATACTATCTGTTTTTCTGGGTGAATTTAATTGAAAATCAACTTTTATTGTTATTCCATATTGTTTTGTCCAACTAGATAAAGCTCAAACCCCAACTAGTACCAATGATGATGAGAAAACTATTCCTAGAACTCTTAAAACAGATGAAGAGCCTACAACAAAGTCAACGGAAGATACTACGCGTATGTTTAAATGTTTATATCCACAATAAAAATGTATTTTATTGAAATCCTGAACTGATCTGAGTTAGACCACAATTGAAAACATGGAAACACTGGACGGTTGATTCATCTTAGAATGGGACTCCTCTGTTGGGTGCGCCCAGTGCTTCCTGGTATTCAATGGCTATCTAAATTAGATAGGTGGATCATTTGTGAAAATAGGATTATTTCTGTCAATCGTCTACACTAACTTCACACGAAGGTTACATGACATTACAGAAATATATAAAGCATTATTGTGAATTTTTCTGTTTGTTACTTTCAGTTGTATGATGTGAATTCTTTGTGAAACGAGCAAGACCAGATATTCTAGCAGAATAGCATGAATTTATTTTATTTCGTTGGTTCTTGTCAGCTGCTTACAACCTGTGATATTTTAAAATCATAATTACATAATGGGTTTAATTTACCTACATGAAACAGTTTAGTTGGAAGTTATATTGACGACACATTAGTATAGTATCAAGGGTATAAATAAATTTGATAGATTGAATGTTGTAAATATATACTCTATGTAAAAGAACATTCTACAACATTGATTGTGACAACAGTTCGAACGACCAGAAACAAGTGATTACATAATGAGTAGACGTTGATAGGAATGAGTAGAGCTCAGCTGATAAAATAAGACTACTAATTTGGAATATAGTTGAAATAAAACTCAATGATGTAATAAACGCAAGAAAGAGTTTTAAAAAAAGGTTTAAGGTGTAGCGAATGGATATTTGTCATCAAGGCAAAGAACCATCTCCTTTTGAACACATAAGTCAGGTTTTTGACACCTGATAGCAACGGCTTAAGCAGACTGGAGTAAAATATGAAATACGATGTTTTTCAGCTTTTTAGTGTGTAGTATTCTGATAAAAAATAATTAACAGTTATATTATTATGCAGAAATAATTTATTATTTTTTCCCTCATTGTTACTTAACAGAAACCCCAAGACCGGAGTTGTAATTTCACGTATAATTCCAAACAAATTATGAAAGCAAGCCAGCTGAAGAAGAGATGTTTTATTGATGATTGTTAAATGCAGTCCCAATTCATTTTAGTCTGTTTTTTATTAAAGTTTCTCTTTTGCTTACTCTGTATTCATACATTAATATTTTTACTGTGATGTCTTCATTGTTTGTGTAAATTTCCTTCTTTCATTGTTATGTTTTGTTTTCCAATCAAAATCACTGAGTAGTAGTAATGTAAGCGTTACTTGCATTGTTGGTATAAATATATGTATTTTTTATAATATAAGTTCATTGATTTCATTCATATCAGTTCAATACTTCACACAACGAATATGGGTACTATTTGGTATTTGTCTTATTGGACGAAGAATATTTTATTTTCGATGATTTTGTTTTTAAAAGCTGTACTGTCGTATTTCAGTGAGATAAGAAAAGTCCCAAACAGGTTTTGTATTAAACTATGTGTAAATAAAATGAGTGGAAATCATGGAATACAGTTCGATAAATAGTTGGATTATCAAGCTAATTAGAAATTATAGGACATGTGTAGATCAACGTTCAGAAATACATCTAGATGATTGATGTGTTCTTTGAGCTGGATAGCTTATTTATGAAGCCTTGATTATGTTTGTGAATAATATCATCAGCTCCTACTTCGTGCAGAAGTTAGTTATATCACAACTGGTAAATCAGTCTGTTCTGATGAACTTGTGCGTAATTAGTTGCCTTCGTTTGGTTTTGCACTCATGTTATTTGGCTTATTCGGTTAACCTCTGACCTCGTTAGTTGACTTCTTCCGTATATGTTGAATTTACTTTAGACATAATGACATAGTTTCTTTCATTTCAATTTTGGTGCGATCTTATAGGTTGGTAAATAATGGCCATTATAAATGGTAATAAGAACTGATTACAGGTGATCGCTTTGATTAAAATAATAAGTGAATTAACTGAATCTTAATTTACTGTGTTTGAATTTACAAAAGGTTAGCGATATAACTCAAAATTGGAAGAGTTTGTAAACAACGAATAAAAAATAAATAATAAAAATTATCTTGGGAAAATACAGAATTATAGAACGAAACAAAGTAACAATATAGAATGTGATCTTACAAACTATATTTGAACACATAGATCTAGCTCCATGTTACGCTTAAACAACGCCTCTGTTACACAAAAGGGGTGTGTATATATACACGTCTTGGTAGGTGTGGTTTGGGTTTATGGATAATTTCGAGCTCAGCTGTATGCTTCAATACAAACGATTTAATACTTTCCCATGGGGCAGGTAATTTCTTGTGTTTCGAGGATGTTCTCTAACGAACCTAGCTTCACATGAGATGAATAAAACAAATACACATTAAACTGAACGAGGTACCACGTCATTTACATAGGTGGGCACCAGTGACTCGCTTATCAAGGTAGATTTTATATTGAAATGTTCTCCCCAGTTCAGTGCTTTCCAGCCACTACAATTCACTAAATCTGAAGCAAATCAGAAAGAGAATTGAGGGAGATAGAATAATAATGGGGATTAATAAAAATGCTAAGAGTAAACAAAATGTACATGAGAAGTGTCCAGTATCTTTTAGATTCGTTCCGCAGCGCTGATCGGTTGCCGTAAACCGATCAGTGCATCCAGTCCTTCATAGAGCGTGAAGTCGTTAGGAATATACTCTGTTAAAAACTTGTTTCTTGCGATAATGTCCTGTTTACAATCACAACGATCTGTAGTGCTTCTTATTTTTGTAACTATTGATGAAACTTGCATTCAACAGACAAATTTCGTAGGTATTCCCGGTTATTATCATGTTCTTGCGTTATCATAAGATTAGCAATATACGGATACCTAAATTAATAAGATTCGACTGTTGCTCAGGCCACTTTTTCTTATAGGTGATTCATTCGTATTAAAGTGATAAGATGTTTATCAAAGTTACTCTTTTGCAATCTTTTATTATGACATGAACTGTATTTCCCTGAACGAATTGATATGCACTCTGCATTTAATTAATGGGGAAAGATGTTAGCATGAATAGGAGACGTTTTACTCCAGTATATGTTTGCCTAAGTGATCTTATATTTTTTCTGTATTCTTGTTTAATAGTGCACATATTTTGGTGTCAGTGTACACTTATATAATATAAGATACAAATTAATCAACTTTGTATAAATGTTGTTCTGTTCTTAGATGTTACATAAATCTATAAATAGTTTTAGATACTATTAGAAATAAAAAGCTTTTAGATTTTGTAAAGTTTAACTCATTCGGTTTTAGTTCATATAATACAAAATCATTAGTTTTCGTAAGTAATTTTAATGATGATAATAATAAGATTTATGTAACATATTGGTAAATTTATTGTAAATAAGTAGTGTGTTATGAATATGGAACTTTATGCATATTGAAAGATTGTTTTGTCGGATGTTTACATGTATTATATGGATACTGTTAATCCCTATAATATTTTGAAAATTGAATTTCAATTAAACAAAAAATCCAGTCATTAAATACCTGAATGTTATTAATTGGAGGTTTTAAAAATTAATTTGGATTAAATTAGTTTCGACAAAGTTTCAGGAAACAAATTAAGTTGTGATTGTTACAGTTAAGGTGACATTAAAAACCAAGGAGTACTGGAAAGCTGTTTTATTTGAATATAGGACTCTTTAGCAGTGTACACCTTTGACGCTACCAGTGATGGATTTATTTATTTAATTAAACACACAAGTATTGATACAAAGGGGCACCGAATGCATATGCTCCGCACAAATCTCATTCGATTTGTGAGAAGGCTGAGATACTGCCAAGGTGCCCAAACTGAAGCAGGTGGTTTTCTTAGGAGGCCACACCCGGAGCCTTTAACCTGAAAATCTGATCCACAAGGCAGTGGAGCATTGTGAGGAGATGCAGTCCCATGGTAGTCGATGACCAACGATTGATTCATACGTCATTTTGTCCCTCAGGATACTGCAGCCCATGTGTACCATTGGTTTGAAATCAGGGTTTTCCAACTCCCCTAGGTGGACTCGCCGTGTCCACCATGAAATAACACCAGTGATGGAACTCCAATTCTCTAGGTTAGCCATTATAACCACTGTGTTAAGATCAACCTGGTACAGTTTTAATATCAGTCAGTTTGTAACTTTGGACTATTAAATTGTATTTAATGACAATGGATTAACTATTCATGACAGAATATGATTGATATGATAGGAAATTAAAAAGAAACAAGATAGTTATTCAAGCTTGTTTAATCTTAATTATCAATAAAATAACTGTGAACAGATGATATTTATGATGTTGTTGATGCTGACAACAATTTGTAAAACAATGGGGTTTAAATTTTATATTTTAATTTATCAAAAAGTACATGAATAAAAATGATAGATTATGCATTAGTAAAGTGTTATAATATTAAATGAAAAAAAAAAGATTTTTGTAGAAAATGAATCTTTATAGAGAGAAAATAAAGGAAGAGAACTATGATTATTAAGAATTATAAATATGAATTAAATCTAAACGATAAACATTGAATACACAAAACTATTTATGATATACATCTAGAGTATAACATTGAATGAAATTTAAGATTTCTTTGTCATTATAATCTAATAAGATATGTGTTGAATACATGAAATGTGTACTTGTTTTTAAACAGTTTATATATGATGAATAGATAATAAGTATTTATTCATGACAGTAACTGTGAAGGAGACAACATTTATCCATATGAAATATCGTAAAGATCGATAAATAATTACATCAATTTAATTTGTATTGAGCAAATTTTTATGTGTACTGAATAGTAAAATCTCTTTGAAATACATACATTGAGAGAAAAAGAATAGTTCAAGTCTAATTACCTGCATTAGCAGAAGTTTTCAGTAAATTAATACAGTATTTATTAGTATTATTATGAGGAATATTGTTATTACAATATAACATCATAGTTTCAAAAAGGAAATGTATGTATACTTGGCAATTAAACTACCATACGTCGTACACCACATTCAGGACAAAATCTTGCGGCTGAAGTTGGAAATGTATAACCACATTCAGAACAAACTTTATTAGATTTTTCATTCGTTACTCCTTTCAAGCTATTTTGTGTATGACTGGTTGTTTTGCTTGTATGTGTTGGTTGACTAAAATGAAATAATAAATAAATTTATTATACATGATTGTATTAAGCTTAATGATGAATAAAATGAAGGAATTTAGAGTAATAGAACAAACTTTGTAAATTTTATCGCTTTGGATATTGAAAATTTACGTCATTAGATGTGTCTTTGATAAAGTTTTTTTATATTTTAGATTAGTATTGAACTTTTCGGTGTATTAATCTTGAAAATGTTTGATGAACGATTCAGTATGACAGTAATTTTTGCGACTCGCCCGTAGCCCCTCCGGGGGCTACTGCCAGTCCCAAGCACGGATAAGGAAAGAGGGTTGAGCATGGAGTTAGCGACCCCATCTCATAGAAAACTAACTCGCTAAAACGACGCTAACCAGGAAAATGTTACTCTAACCCTTTCTCTTTCTCCTGGTGATCTACTAGATCATGAAGACATCAACATCTGGGGGGGGGAAGCATGGGATACAATGGCTAGTTAGGATGCAGCTGGAAGACCAAGACTTCGCAGATTATCTGCCTCTCCTAATTGTTGCGACTGCATTTTGAGCTGAAAGGTTCTAGTTTCCGTCAAGTTATGGCTGACTCTAGAAATCCTTAGTTATCTGCAAAATGTCTTTATTGTTTAATTTCAGTTGTAGAGTTTTCATTATGGCTATAGACATGTTTTATACAAACATGTAATAAGTTCATAATCCAGCTAAACTCTATTGTAGCAATTGTTACTCAATTTTCGAAATCTTTTTTATTATTATTAAAATACTATAATTCAATAACATACCGTATTTGACTTGACGGTAAGCCTCGTTTATTATTGCTTTGTGGTATCCCCTCCTTCGGGTTATTTGATGAGATACGTGATTTCATCTAAAAGATAAAAGAAATAAATACAAACATTTGATTCTTCAAAATGTAAAATATTTTATTAACGTCTTTAATCAATAAGACAGTATTCCACCGCACAATTATCATCTCCGTTAATTATAAATCAGTTTTCATTGCAATGAATATTCTCTATTGACCACTTCTTATTATAAGAATTTCTTATCCAGAATGATTACAAATACTAATTTCTAGATTTTGGTATTCATTGTAATTCTACTTGACTCAAGTCACAGCAACCGAAATGTTACATGAAGAGAAATTTATGTAGAATTAAATGACTTTTAGCCAGTAATTTATAAAAGTTTGTTTTGTTAATGTGAAAATTATGTGAAGTGAGAAATTTTGCAGATTTTGTCTGCCTATCTTGTCAGATAGTTTTCATTAGTTGAATGAAAAAGTATACGCATGACCTTCGATTGCTGACATTAAGATGACCATGGGTTTTTTTCCTTAGCCGTCGCAACAATCTTGAGGGTATGTCCGTAAATATTGAAAAGAACATGGTGATCAATTTAAGTATAACCAAAATATGTGCTTAGCGTGTCTAGAAGCACACTTTTTTCGTTTAAATATCTAAAGATAGCATGCTGAGAAATAAATTATCTCAGGCTGTAACTACGATTGATTAATAGAACTCATTCTTATTAAAAAGGTAGTCAATGCACAAATTAAAGGCTTTTATATCCATCATAAAGCAATAATAAAGGATTACATAATTCTTAAAGTTATTGACATCGTTGGGTGACGTCTTTGAGGAGTGCATAGCGGAAAGGCGTTAAAACTTGTTTTTTTAATGTTGGGGTGGATGTAAATATTAAGTTTATATCACAGTTATATTAATGTTATTCACCCTAGATTAATTTTTTACGTTAAATAAATGTGAATATTTAAGTGTTCTGTTATAAATAAAAAGGATACATACCATAACATCCTGACTTTTACGTAATTCACTAGAATTTCGAACACCGTTGGTTGAAGGATTTTCTAGAAGTTAAAGTTAAAAATAATTATTTTGCTAATAAATGAACGTAAACTTTGTTATTATGATACGAATCAAATTCAACTTGGTTACAATATCGAATAATTGGTATATCAGAGAGAAAAATGGTAAAATCTTGATTTATCAATAAAATAATTAATTTTTATCCCATATGCTTTACTAAGATTATATAATAACAGATAATATGAACTTTTTTGGTTCATTTACCACTGCATCTGATCGGTTATTGACTCCTACCGAATTAGACACACAGGAATTATCATTTTAAAAAGATACATCGTTTGTTGAGTCTAATAAAATGGAAGATCAACTTCATTCTGTAAGTGGAAATAAGTAATTCACATCCTTCTATATACGTTTCGATCTTAAACAGGAAATTGATAATGCAGTTCAAAGTTATTATGTGTAATAATTGAATAGTTTTTCATTAACTTACAGACAACATTCTTAATAAATCAGTCACAAAATTTTTAAAAAAAGTTATATTAACAGATACAATTATTTAGCAGTTACCTTAAGCTTAGTCTGTATATGTGTACAGTTGATAACTTAGGACAGGTGAAACAAATAATCACTTTTTATACCACTTAAATATTGGGAGAAATTTTTTAATGTATTTAGGTAATATCCAATTGATCTTAGTGACCAGTAAAATATATCATCGTTTACCACCAACGCATACACGAGGATAATCTCGCTCTCTGCTTGACCTGAAGTGAATAATATTCGACAAGATTACTGATAAACTCTATAAGTGTTAAAATGAGCATTTGGTGCCCGATAACTGGATGCTTTGTGTTTATTTTTAGTTTGAAATATGATGAGGTAATTTTTGGTTTACAAAATATAGACGGGTTACTTATACTTTTATTTCAAGTATTTAACTCTTTGAGTAACATTTTAGTTTAGAGCAAAACATAGGCAAGAAAATAACCCGTTAAGTAAAAAAAATATCACATCGTTTACGTGTTGGTCTGGCTAGTTGTGGTATTCCATGTTTTGTGTTTCGTGTTGAATCTGTATTATGTAAATTTCGACTATTATTCTCAGCGTTAGTATGTAATCCATAATTATTTTGTGTATAAGAAGTACTTGAACCTTTTCTGTTACTTCGTATTGTAGGATCAATATTAGCTGGAGCCTAAATATAATATAAGTCAATCAGTAAACACACAAATGTCAAATGGAAAGAGAGATTTAGCATTTGATATGAATGTGGGTTAAAGTTAGGACCATATTACTACAGTACCAATAAATGACAACATTTCGCCTTTGTACAAAACAGGAAACTAATTTATTAGTAATTAAATATCATATAAACGTCTCTAAAGTTACAGTCAGTTCACGTAAGTTGTTATTAAAGACTAGTCGATTATTAATGAAATAGATTTCCTCACAGTAATAAGTTTGTTAATAAAAATTAGCAAACATTTATTCAAGCCACAACTTACAAAGAAACAACTTTCAAAATAATGCAATGCGTGTTCTAGATTCCACTATTAACCACAGTGCATATATGAGCCTGTTCGAAAATATGGCTTGGAGTATTCACTAAATTTTATCGATCAAGTTCATAAATACACACCAACCGTATCCATTTTTGATACTACCTGTCACCAGTCATCCTAGTGAAGTGAAGTGCCCACATTTTCCGAGTGAAAATGCAATATTTAGTTACGGATATTGTCTAAATAATTTATACTACTAATAAGTAGCTTAAAATACTTCTAAAATACTAGGTTTCATAACAGCAGAAACATTTTTATGAAATCAACCAATGGACACTGAGTTTTAAAATGAATTCCTAATGCTTAATACTACAAGGACAGTGAATTTTTGTTGCATACGACAACCTGTGACCAGAACTTGTCGGTTCAGTATCACCTTGGTTTAGTGCACGTCCATATCTCCACTGGAGATCGAATATAGGACGTTCATGTCTCAAGGAGATTTCAACCATCAGGCCACTAAATCTGACATCCAATGATTTACATTTCTGACTCCAATCAAAATGAGATACTTAGGGGCAATTATTTATTGTTATTGGTGACATTGATCTCATAATCGACATTTTCTTGTGATTTTCATGAGTTGAAGTGGCAATCATGTGAATTTTGCTTGGATTTCAATAGTGGCAGGAAACGTTTGTTCTCAATAAATGATGAATGAATTCCAAGTCATAATGAACAACTACTTGATCCTAGTTAATCGAAATCCTAATCATCCTAGGAAATTAGATTTGAAGCATTCGAATTTTGCAATGAACACATTAGTACTTGGTTACTGGATCATAATCAAGTGATCTGTGCTATTACACTTTAGTTATTTCCTGTGGTCTGAGGCTGTAAGCAAATAGTTGTTGTTTTAAAACAATATAACCTACTGAAGCTTGGTATTAGACGTCTCACTTTTTTAATGGTAATACTTACCAGAATAAATATATTCAAAGTGATAAAATTGGCTTTATTCTTTCATAAATACAAAAATTTAATCGAGCATACCGTTGTACGTGTGGTAGCACGTGGACGACCGATACCGGTTGTGTTAGATGATGCATTGTTAGTTGGTAAACGTGAGTGTTTTTCACGACAAAACTTGATATGACGTTCAGCAGCTTTTTCGTTGAATCTTCTTAGACAGTATTCACATTGAATTAGATCTATAAAAATAATTAAAAAAATAACAAGGAATATTTACGAATAACGTTTTTAAAATGTACAATTCTCTCGAGAACCGACTACATTTAGCGAATGTTACCTGTTATAATATTTAAATGAAGTAAATAAACTGAGCAGTAATTTTGCTCACTCTACCGTGTCGAAGAATGTTCTATAAGATTCTTCTACACGCTGTCAAAGGCTTTCTAATAATCAAGGAAGTTGATCTTTAGTGATTGGTTCCATTCTATTTGTCCATTCTAGCTGTCTACTTTCCCACTTCCTTTTTCTTCTGGTGATTGACTGGATTATGAAGACCTCCATATCTGAGGGGAAGCACGGAATACAATGGACATCTCAGAATCAACCAGAGGATTTGGACTTCGCAGATGATCTAGCCCTCCTATCTCATACACACGAACAAATACATACGAAGACAACTACTGTATAAGTAGCCTCTGCATCAACAGTCCTCAACATACACAAAGGAAAAAGCAAGATCCTCAAATACAACACGGAGAGCACCAACCCAATCACACTTGCTGGCGAAATTCTGGAAGAGGTGGAAACATTCATGTACCTGGGAAGCATCATTGACAAACATGGAGGATCGGATGCAGATGTAAAAGTGAGGATCGACAAAGCAAGGACAGCATTCCTACAATTGAAGAACATATGGAACTAAAGACAACTGTCAACTAACTTCAAAGTGAGAATTTTCAATACGAACGTCAAGACAGTCCTACTGTATGAAGCTGAAACGTGGAGAACTACTACTGTGGTGTGGTCTACTTATATCCATATAAGTAGTATATGGCGTGGGTCAGACATAGAATGTATTTTGGCAGAAGACCGATGAGGAAAGAACTGAAATGAAGCGCAATCGTTTGGAAAATGCATGAGCAATGGAATTAGAGAAGAAATAGTGAAGATTGAAACAATTGGTTATTAATTTGCAAATTGACTGTTCATTGTTTGGTTATCAGAATTTACCGAGTTAGTCTGTAATGTTTGCTTAAATACATTCGATTGTCCCCAACTAGTGTTTTGTTCACTACACTACAACCATCGTCAAGAAGGTACAAGCATTTATAAACGGTTGTGTACGCTAAATACTCAGCATTCACTGGCCGGATACTACCAGCAACAGCGTTTTATGGGAGAGGGCAAACCAGAATTCAGCTGAAGAGGAAATTAGGAAAAGGCATTGGAAGTGGATACGATATACACTAAGAAAATCACCAATGTGCATCACGAGGCAAGCACTAACTTGGAATCCGGAAGGGGAGCGGAGAAGAGGAAGGTCAAAGAACACATTACGCCGGGAAATAGAAGCAGATATGGAAAGGATGAATAACAACTGGAAAGAACTGGAAAGGATTGCCCAGGACAGGGTTGGATGGAGAATGCTGGTGTGCGGCCTATGCTCCTCCACGAGGGTTATTAATTGTTCAACAATGGTTCGTAGTGTCATCATTCGGTCAATATATAAGATCGATCCTTACGGAATCCTGCATGTTAATCTCAAATCAGGTGAAGACCAAATTATTGTCTCATCCAAAATTACAGTGCTTTGGTTAAATATAAAAACCATACACTAAATACTTCATTTGCACATCTTCCGTCCATTGTCTCTTACAAACTTCATTGTTCCTTCATTTCTGTTTTTATTACAATTACTTTGTTTACATTCCTGTTCTCCTTAATCCGATCTTCTCAACTTTCTGCTGCCAAGCACTTCACTTCTGATTAATTTTACATAATAATCCTGTCGATGTAAGTGCCATATACCACATTATATCTGGCTTCAGTGCTTCAGCCAGTTTGTAAATAAGTAAGCAAATTAATAAATCACTGTTATGACCTTGATTTATCTGCTCACTGATCTTTGCTAAATTTACGAGGAGATGCCTCGATAGCGGGATTGATGTGATAGGTTACGTAGTACACTTAACGCGTAAGTTCAATCTATAACATAACGGCCTTCAGAGAAGAAAGAAAAGAAAATTACTCTACTACTGACCTATGATCTGATTGCTTGAAAGCCAAGATGATTTAAATGGGAATGTATATCTGTTTTATACCTGATTCAACTAATTTAAGAGATACATGAATAAATATATGGCTAACATGACTACAACGCGCAAGGAATGAGAATGTAATTATGTTCAAACTGAAACATCAGACTAGAAAAAAATAGAACAGGAGAGTCATGTTTAAACTAATATTAATTTTGGAGTAGAAAGGAACATGACAGCAACGTATACATTAAAATAAAAGCTCATGATTTATAGAATAAAACAGACACAAAACTAAACGTTAGTACGATACAGATTTCTAATTAAGCTAGACAATGTCCTAGAAATAGCTTACGTTGTTTGCTACCTCATCTTGATTCCTCTTAAAACTAGAGTTGAACATACAAATATTGGTACAAGGGGGCACAGGACTAACCGTTAGAAATGTCTAGGCATCTATCAATTGAAATAGTAGTGTATAATTCTATTGCAAAGTCAAGTCAGCTTATTCGAAAAAGAGACTTATTATCAGTTGTGTAAGATGACAGTCACGCTATATTGCGAAATAACTAGTTTTCAATAAGGAGTTGTGAATTTCAAAATAGTGCTCTTAGGATATCATGTTCTTGGTGGAATTGTGTTCTCTAAACTAGGTATTTTAATCGTGAAGTTTTCATTTTTTATACATAATGTCATCAACGTGCATTTTAGACAGAACTCAACAATAATCATTATTTTGAACTACTGATCTTCTCTATCAACACGACATCGTATTCGATGGAAGACCTGAAGTTAATGGACTCAGCATACTACTTTCTCATTAATCTATAAACAAATAAGAGATTGTATCAAATAAATGGTGGGAAAACTTATTACATGTTGAGATAGGACGTCAAGCAAGTTTAAATTAAATGGGAAATGATAAATAATGGTCAAAATAATTAAATTAATGGCAATATCAAACTCAATATAACAATACATAAATAATGAATGAAACCATTTAACCTACAGAGTTATGTTAACCTAATAGTTTTAATATGCTATTATTATGGACGATCATCCGATTAAATTTAGGCTCAACTGTACATGAATACACCTCATTATTATCATTACAATCCGTATAACTACTTAATAAAAATTTTTAAAAATTCAAATAAAATTCAACGTTATTTTTACTACTGATTAATAAAAAAGTAGCTCTTCGTTTATGTCAAGAAACCAATGAAAGAATGAAATAAGGAAACAATAGTTTTATGCCTTAAATAACAAAACTATTCATCGGTTGCTACTATGACTGCAGAATACAAACAATGTATTGAGGAAAAATATTTATGGGTTATGACTTCTATTGTTATCACTATATACTAGCAAAGTGTATGGGGAAGAGACCTGATCCACTTACATTCACCTGACTTACCGTTTTTACATAGACCTTATCCATTTACATCGATTGAAAACAAAAGAAATTGGCAAACAACCAATCACATATTCGTAAAAGAGAAGAGTAAGAAAGAATAAAGATACGTAAAATTAATTCAAGAGATTACTTTTAAAAAAGGCCCTTTCCCAAAATCAACCTTCAAAGTTAATAGATAGTTAACTGGAAGACATGGAAGTATAAATTGGTTGTACGATTGACTATGATTGGAAACTCCGACCTCAAAGGTTATTACTTATTCATAATTTTAGACTGTACTTTGTTTAAACATAAAATAGATGGACAATTTCAGTCTTACCATAGGTCAACTTTTAATTCCGTTAAGTTAATCACCAATCTTTATCACTTAGTTGATTGAATTTATTTGGAAATAATAGTTAAAAGTATATACTGATTGAATTTCAGTGACTGTAACTATAAATTACAATACACTAGATAGAAAAAAAAACATCGAAAAGAGTAAAAACGTGTTATTTGACAAATGATGTTAAAACGATAAGTAGATTTGATTGTTTTGTGATATTCTGTCGGGGGTTGAGGAAGGAGTTATTTGAAGATTTAATTACTTTATTCAAGTGATCATATAGCATAAGTTTACTCAAGCATTTATAAATTTGTTCTTCTGTTATAACATATGTTCTTACAAAAAGCTCAATGTGACTAGAGAACAGTCAAAAACAGATTAAATTTCTAAACTCAATTAATATAATTTGTTTGAATCTTCCCATTGATGTTTAGGACTGCAACTGGTCAGTCTCTAATTGGAATATGCGCATACTGTGCATATTGCCTCGATAATTCACAAGCATTGTAAGCAAAGATGGATAGTGGCTAGCAGTGGAATCCAGGACGCGCGTTTCATCCTATTAGAGACTGACCAGTTGCAGTCTTAAACATCAATGGGAAGATTCCAACAAACAATACTAATTGAATTTAAACTTCAACCCATTGCACAAGCAAGTGGTTATCAGGACTCAGTAGCTGAGTGGATAACGCGATGGCGTTTGAAACGAATGGTACTGGGTTCGAGTTCCAGAGTGAACATCAACTCAGGTACATCCAGCTGACGAGTCCCAAATGGGACGAAACGCGAGTCCTGGATTCCACTGTTAGCCACTATCCATCTTTGCTTACAGATTAAATTTTTGTTTAAAATACTATTATTAATGATTATATTTCCTAACAACATGTATTTTGAAAAGTATACAGAATTTCGATTGTATCAAGGCTTTTACTAAAACCAGTCTTTTTTTTGTTGAAAATTATGTCTAAAACTTTTATAAACTAAGAATTAATGATTTCCAGTTTATACACTAAATAGTCAATTAGTTAGAAAAGTAGCTGACTGTCCTTAAATTAACAATATTTTGGAATATTTTATACAAAAGCAATTGACTATATAACATTAAGTTTAAGGTATTTATTTGTTGTTAACTGAAGGTTAGATTCGATGACCATCAAAAATGCAACAGAAAACCGAAAAATCACTATTTTTCAGAGAATCTTAGACTGGAAATGAATGATTCGCAGGTGGGTTTAATTTGGTTATGTTATAAACTTAGTTTGTTTCTACGTTCAGTGAATGAACGATTGATTATGTTGAATCGTTGACCTGTCTTGTATCTTGTTAAATCTATGTACTGATAAGTAACTTTATAAATAGTTCGAATGAGCTAAGTACAATGTTTAGTCAGTCACTAAATAAGTTAATAAGAACTTGAAACAAATTTCAGGGTACTTACAGGTATTATAAGTTAGTATAGTATTTAGTTAGTTTCTGGGCATTATTTTTGCCTGTTAGGTGATGACGACAAAAAATAAGGTTTTGAATCTGATTCTATTTGTTGTAAACGTTTTAGAAGTTGTTGTGATTTATGGTTGGTTAATATACCACGTGATTGATTCATTAATCAGAACACGACTTATACAATCTTAACACTGTGCCACAACAATGACGTATCGACCCGTATGAGTAGCCTAGCACTACCTGTTGAGGCCAGAACGCCAAAAAGTGGCTGTGATTGTGACAGACTGTAATTAATGAACTGGGTATAAACTTAAGAATAGTAAATCGTATGATAATAGTCAATGGGTGAAATAAAAGCTTATAATAACAGGAATATAAATATACAGAATCTAGTTATTCAATAGTTATACAATAAGAATATATGTATAATATTGGTCCATTAATAACTCTCAGAAGTTAACCATAATGTAATCTTCTCTAGGATATAACATAATTCATAACAGTTAATCAACATACGGAACATGGTGAGGTCTAAAACGAAAGCATACTACTTCAAATTACCACACATAGTCATATGTTAAAAATAGGTGACTTAGGTACAAAGAAGATTGATTAAATGACGTAAAACAGAAGATTAGTAAAAATGGGAATTAGATAAAGTTTAAAATGTTTAGTAATCGGGTGTATATAGTGGATGTATGCGGATCAACGTAACGGATTATATGTCAATCCGATATAGAATCTTGGATATCTGATTCCTAATATATCAAGTACATAAACCGAGAAAAACAGAAATATGAGCAAACAATCCACAAAAATGTTTATATTCAAGTAGTGATGCTGCTCACTGATACTGCTTCAGAAAATAAATTTACTAAAATTAAGTCTTTCATTGTTGATTCCCCCCCACAAAAACTTACTTTTAGTAGTATTCTCAAGCTAGTATATCCACATGCATTAGAAATGCTTGGCAGCAGTCAAAATATATACGCTAACTAGAAATATACTACTAGTTCTAACCTGGATCAATAGCTGGCGGTGGAGGAGGTGGCAAAGGTTTACCAGTCTGTTTTGCAATTGTATACTCTTTTGCAGCCCTAATTGCGCTGATAAATTCTTCATGTTTTTTTCTCCATTGGTGTTTACGTGCTTCAACTTGAGCTAGTTTTCGTGAAGTTTCAACTGATTTAGTCCCAGATGCGCCTCCTAATATGATTTGATTCTTTTCCTCTATACCCTGTAATCGTTGTTTAGTGCTATCAAAAGGTTTTCTTTTCTTTGTAGAATTCTTAATACATGCCACTTTATGTCGATTCTGTGTGTAATAGAAAATGAACAAAATTGATGTAGTGATAAATGTACGTTGAAACAATTAAACGAAATACATCACAAATAATTTTGTAAATATAAACTCAGTGACTGTTAAAGCCAAATTTTTAGTTTTAAACAAGAAATAAATTGAAATTCTGATCGCCACTGAATGCATGACAATTCCATTTTTGTTGAATTTGATAAACTGTACTGCTCGAAAGGAAGGCAAATACGCTACTAAGTCTTACAATAGAAAACTAACTACACGAAGTTTTGTTGAGATTCAAAGACAACTTTAAGTACGTTCTGGAAGTGTCAAAATGAATTACAAGATTATAACTTATTAAAACTCAATATCAACTTGAAAACTTGAGAAACTGAGTATGATAATAGTCCGTTTTGACATCGTTCAGCAGTAGAAGTGATCATCAAACTGTTATAAAAGCATTCTTAGCTCTTTATGATAATTATGGTCTAAAGGAGCGATGGCCTGACTTAGAATATGGCTGTAATTTGTGGGGCTTATTGGATTTGCTTTATTATTATATCAATACAAACCGAGTGGGAGTAGGATTTCAACTTTATTTTAATAAAAGTCATTCATTTGTATTTCAGTACTACATAAACAAAGCACATAGTACTGAATAAACTACTTGGCTAATTTTTTTAAACAATCGTGAAAAAAACAATCAGTAAATTCTGTTGAGAACAGTTGAAGAGTAACACACGTATACAATATTTCTAAATCTCCAATAGTTTTCTACTTGGTATCAGACTACGGTGAAGGTTAGGAACGTTTAATTCATGAATAAAATAATATATATGGTAAACGTTTACATGTCAACCGACTGTAATTACAATACCAGTTCAGTGAAATAAAACATTTAAACAAAATGTTAACTTCTTTATGAAGAAAATTTTCACTCCTATAAGTGTTTATAGACTGGCACTCATTATGGTTACTGATTGGGACTTACGAGAATGTTTTAAGAGATTATCGATTTTACGAGAGCTCGGACATACACAACTGATTTTTTCCACTTGAAGGATCCTAGGAATAGTGGATAGGGAACACCTATCGCAAGCGTTAACAATCACAACAATATTCTTACCTACCTTGAAAAGTGTTTTGAAAAAGTCCATTGAGATTAATAAAATGTAAACAGAATATACCCATTGAGACATAAAATTAGAAAGATTAGTTCAGCGAAGTGTTTATCATTAAAAGTGAAAAAAAGCACAAAAAGTACTTAAATATGCTGGACCAATTTACTTAAACCACACATTTTGTAGTAAGTCTGTCCATGTATTTAGAATACGAATTAAGATTGATCTCAAAAAAATCTAGTTTATTTTAACTGCTGTTTGAGTTTAATAAACACGTGTTACCATAACAACTTGTAGATGATAACAACAGTCAAATTTCTATGGTAATATTATGCTTTGAGAATTGTAAAGAGTTCGAAGAATCGGTAGTAAATTCCTTGTCACAAACACCGAGCTCTCAGAGCAAATTAGGGTTACCAAATATTTACAGGCAGAGTGTTAAAACTATTATCAGAACACAAAAAGATGTTGCTGAGTTTTTACTCCCAATAACTGAGGAATTTCTTGCTGTAACTCTGCTTATATAACAATTTTATCTTATTCGCTACGTGAATTTTTAATGTTTTAACTGAACAACCACCTGTATGGATACATATCACAAAAAATGTGTCAACCAGCAGGAAATAAACTCAAGTTTGTCAGTCTTTAGGCAATGAAAGTAAAGGGAGATTATGGTGAAAACAGCTTTTAGGGAACTAGAAATGTTTAATTCCCATAATAGAAAAATTTGTGATAAAAACTAGAACGTAGAAGTCAGTATATTTTGACACATGAAGCTGTTTAATTTCTGTTATTTAAGCTTGTTTATTATTACCTTGAAAACATATCCAAAATTCTTAGAATTCACATCTTTGTAAGAATGTATCTTCCGATGTTTGTCACATTTAAGTGATTTTTTAACCCAGCAGTTGCAAAGCCAACACTGTAAGACTCGGATACTACCCAACCAACTACATGCATTACGTTTAATGAGCCTCAAAAAGGTGGTGTAACTGGAGAAACCTACTAGTAGTAAGTAGGACCTACAGGCTTCAATAATCAGGTTAACAAAAAATACTACTTTTTAGCTAAAAATCTAGGTTCCAACAAGTGGTCATTAGGAAATATTTCCTTGAAAAAGCTTGGACCAGATTGCCAGACGAAAGGTTGGATTTACTTCAAATTCATTCGCTGAGACTTTGTAAAGATATAATTCCTATTTAATGTTTTACGTCAACTCGGCGCCCAAATACTGTGAAACTATTCGCTCTTATTTAGACGAAAGTTTTTATAAGTAGTCACTACATTTGTAACTCACTTTACCAACGTCATTTTGGTCAACTGAATAGTACCACTAATCCTCAAAGGAGTACATAAATCTTCACTTGATAAATAAGTTTCTGAGCAGGAAAGAACGTTGGATACTGAGCTCATCAGAAGCTCACCTAAGTTAAGCTAGTTAAAATAAACGAGCTTTCCAGTCAGTACTAGAAGAACTTAAAAATCAGCTATAACCTCAGTCTGACCCTGTTGTATATTTTGTTGGTTAGACAAACCATTTTAGTTAGTTTTCAAAATTGTTTTTAACGATTCAAGCAAATAATAAGCGAACTGCTTCCAAGCTTCGTCCATTTTATAGGATAATTGTGATGTTTCATTAGGTACCAAAAGCTATGAAAGACCAATTTCTCAAAACTGAAAAGGATCAAGCCAATATTTCATATACCATATCAAATTATTTGTGAATTATTTAATCGCTTGTGGTTTAGTTCAAACATCTTTTGTGACTAACATGTCATCAGGAATTCTGGTTCAATTCGGCAGTTAGACTCAAATGTTATTTATTTTTCCCTCCTGTCTGAAAAATATATGTTCTAGGAATTTTTTACGAAACAATATACGCTATTCCTAATACTTCAGTGCAATATATGACTTTTATAATAACACTCATCTTGTCAAGCAAAACATATATAAGAGGTATTCCAGGACTGTTAGTAATGGTTGTCATAACTTTCCACGTAAAGGTACTGTATGTCTAATGCTTACTCCTCTTTTCTAATAACTGCTTTAGTAAGCTGTCAGATAATAGTTGACTCCATAAAGCTATATCACAATTTTTAGTCTATTTTTGATAGTGTAATATTCGTTATTTTATATTTACAAATTGGTGACCTTTCTAAAGACCCATATGTCACTAACAAAACCAAAATGGAATTATTGATATCTTGGATTTCCATTCCTTAAGTAACGTATATAGCTTGTATAAACATTTGTAATGAAACCGTAAAAACAAGTAAAATGACGTTTTGGATACACATGTATGATTTCGGTATTTTAGATTCTTAATCCTCCATAATGTTTATTTTGGTCTATCACGACATCAATAGTGGTTTGTAGGGATGCACAACATGTACAAAATGTCGAGAAAGTAAATCAAATACAATTTATTCGTAAATCTGATTCCTACTAGCTTGTGAACCAATGACACTTCAAAACTATTTTTCATTTGAAGGCGATTAGAATCCTAGTTGTTTCTAAGTGAGAACTTCCAAAATTGCCATTCAAAGGTCTTGATCAATGAAGTTGAGAACAGAATATCACACAGTCTTTTGATAGTCTGAGTTCTACTGTCCCCCATTTGTGTATATATTAACCCTGAATTACAGTCTTACTAGTAAATATGACTATCTAGTTATTGAAAATGGAGTCTAGAACGTTCTGCCTCATGCTCGTCTCACGAGAGCCTGAGTAATGTAGCACGTAGTCATTATATTCAATCACAAAAACAAGAAAACATCCTTGGTTGCACATTTTTATGAACGGATTTGTTAAAGGGGTAAGAAATACAAATGAGCTCTCACAGAATGTTGCGATTGACTGATATCGGGGCAACATGGTACTGATCAACAATGGTTTAGAATTATTTCTACATTTGGGTGTGTAATTGTAACTTTAGTAATTACCCTTTCTACATGCTTACTTTATTTCCACTTTCTATGTTACCCTTCGTTCATTTACGTAAATAGGTTAACTCAAAACTACTTAGACGTCTTTTGAATAGTACATATATAGCTGTATACAGCTATATATCTAAATTTTCAGGAATTTCCCCGAAATTGCGAAACTTTTTGGAGTTTTATCAACGAATATAGACCGATTTCTCCAATGTTATAAAATTCTAGGGAAATTTTGGGGTTTTTGTGCATTTCTCAAAATTTTTCTATCTCGCCTTCCCCAAAATAGGGAGATCGGGCAGGTCTAGTTCATCTAAATCACATCAACAAAAACTACAGATAAACAATTCAGCTAGTATCCGATTTTTTCCTACATGTTATATCAACGTGATAAGTCACAAGAATGTATACGAATCCAGTGAAGATAAGTATTTTGTTGTTCACTTTTGATCACAATCAGTTTGTGCAATCAAACTCGATCACTTAAAGTACGTATACAATCCCAATCTTTTAAATGATTGGTCACAATCACAAAATTCGGCAAGTGTAATGAGTCGGTTTGAAGATGTGAATCAAAATGCGATTAATTTTGAAGTTACCAATAATGCCAAACTTACAATTATGTCTTCCCGAAAATGTCGGCCACAAGTAGCACACTCAATAAGTGTTATGGACTCTACATCAGAATCAACTACAGTATATGATATCAATCGTATCGACTTGTCTTACAATCCATTCTCTGTAACGCTCAGTTTTTGGCGAATATGCTTCTAGCTTGAAGATACTTTGCGTGCTGATTGATTGTTAAGGTCAGTAAGTGAGATTATCTGAAAGAGGAAAAGTGAACCGACGACTGAACAAGAAAATAGATGAAGTTACATTTAATAACTGAGGCAATTGAAAACAATTATGACTAACACGAGCATGAAGTTAAGACAGTCTGAAATTGAAAATAAGAAACGAATAGTGCAATGCTTCTAATTTCTTTCATCCCAGCAATTTTAGTCAACATTAGTTTCTACTGCGAAACCTAAATTGATGTATTGAAACAAATAACCGTTAGCTAAAGATGTGATACCATTTCAACACATCGAATTTTAGACTAATGGAAATGATTACGCCAGTTATGAACGGAATAGGGGCAGTATTCATTTGACGAGCCTCCGTGGCTGGTTTCAAATGGTTCTAGAAATGGTTCTTGAAATCCCAGCGCCTGTTGCTGGTAAGATGTCTTAGATCAGTTTTGCTGACAATGTTGAAGACTATGATGGCATGATTATTACTACTCAGGGGAGCTAGGATTGAGAGATTGTTAATTGGGAATTCTTCGTTTGTAAGCAGACAAAGGTGGGCTTTCTGTAGATGACTCGTTCTAGACACCTGAAGATGTTAAACAGTTTTATTGAGCACCATAGAGATTTATGAGGACTGATAAACCCTTGAATGTACACTTGATGTTCTATTAAATAAGATCGCAAGTACAAGGCTTCTCCACCCCCTTCCTTTTTCTCTATCATAGGGAAACGAAGACATGCTGGACACTGATAGCTTTGTGTTTTGAGGAATTCCTCTAAGCACAACTCTCCAGCTAGATGGCTACGAGTTCGCCCGTATTATTTACTCACACTTTTATAAGGACGTTTTAGTTCACATAAATAAGTTTACTACAATCATAGTAACACATAACTTAGCAGTCTGTTGTGCGGAACGTTCAGTCTTCAGTCTTCAGTAATAAGGATAGTAGGTTGATGAACCTGTGTTAATCCTGACAGATTTCCTTCCAGTGAAGGTCCAGCTTCTTTTTGAAAATGTTCACTGATGGTGCTGATACCACTTGTTCTGGTAAAGCGTTCCAGTCATTGACCACTCGATGAGAAAAACGGGACCCCACCTTTAGTTTATTAGATCGCGGTTTCAGAACCTTCTTGCTATGACCCCGGAGATTATTAGTGAGAAGTGAAAGAATAACCACTGCAGCATGGGCCAGTCCATGGCGTACGGTTGGTTTGGAACGTGGTAAAACGTTTTATTGAAGTCAATGGAGGCTATATATATAGGTAACGTTAGATCATTAAAAACTTGAGTTTATTAGTTAAAAGTTGACCTCAAGCATCTAAGTGTGTGTCAAAACAATAGAGCTCAAGTATTCATTCACTTCCTTAGTTTGTATAGGTATTATGTTTCCTATTATCTGATATGGAATATTGAAAAGTTTTGTGTGCTTGAAAATGTAACTTCGCGCTCCACTGTGTGCTATCCTACGATCCCAATAAAGGCTTATTCACTACAACTCTGGTTTCTTCTATCAGTAGAACAAGGGGTACACACCAGCACAAAACGCGCATCAACTTTTTTGTCCCATTAATATGTTTGTGAAGTGTGTATAACTTGTTCTAAGGCCGTGGTGATTTTCAGTACGAATCAGGTTTTCGTCTAAATACCTAAAAAATTCTTCTGAATAATCTTCTCTGAAACTTATACAACCAACTGCACAGACTCACAGGTCGATAGCTTTCAGGCATGTCTCATACCCGTTTCGAAGGCAGGATTTACTACGGCCTTCTTCGAGTCTTTTGGTGATTTACTCTGGACGAGAGGTAGATTATAACCTGAGCTATAACTTAACTGTCTTTTGCTAACGATGTGGAACTGTAGGGCCGATGAAATGTCACTGGGTCCTAGCCATGTCAATTCGGAAGTCCAGTCACTGAATATTGGACAGCTCACCGATCTCCGTCAAGTTTTATGTACATCAGTCAACTGCACGCCATGGACTGGACCACGAGGTGGTGTTTACACTCTGTTCCTTGTACCTACTCTTAGCAATATATTTCTGTAGTAACGTCGTCTGTGTTGTGATGTCATCAAAGCAGCTTTAGTACCTGGATACGATGAAAAGGTGATCCACGTTAGATACTAATCGTGGTGTGTGACTTCGACATATACTGGTTAGTCACACCACTTCCGTCTAACTCGAGCGAACCCTCAACAGTCCAACGCTGATCATCTACGTCGGTGCTCTGCAGTACTACTGTCTTTCCGCAATGCTGAGATTCTGCTGAGATTCTTCATTTCTGATGGTGTGTGCGACTGGTATTTTTTGATGAAATTGATTGGAAATGAAGTCAAGTATAAAAATCAACAAAAGGATCACCCTAACATACATAAAAAGCATATCGGAAACGACAACAAGGCTGCTGAAAACCTTCGGAATAGGTGTAGCCCACAAACCAACAAAGTCCCTCCACTCAATCTTATGCAAACCAAAAGATGAAATGGCAAAAGAGGACAAAACAAACATCATCTACAAGATAAATTGTACCAACTGCAACAAACACTATATTGGACAAAGCGGACGCCCCTGCATCTTCGCCTACATGAACACCAATTAGCAGTCAAACGCCACGACATTTCTTCACTCATATCAATACACGTGGACAACTACGGACATACATTCGACTGGGAAAATGTGCGGATTTTGGACAGAGGAAATTCCAAAAATACCAGAGAATTTTTAGAAGCTTGGCACTCAGGTCAATCAGCAATAAACAAACATATTGAAATCAATCCAATCTATCAACCAATCAAGAAAATTATGCAGGAACATAGGAACAAAAATCAAAACAATAGGAGAGACAATCAAAACAAAGAAATAAACCATGACAGATTTAAGGTCAATAAGAACCAATCAACATCGAGGTGCAGAGGACAAGCTGTGAATCACATGTGGAGAAATTCAAACACTTCACTTCTACCCGAAGTTTGTGCTGATGATGTCGTTCAGAAGGACGATGAAAGCTCCACGACCAAACCATCCAGCTCAGAGAACAAACCAACATAAAAATCACCCACCTGAGCTACAAATCTTCTCCACCATCTCAATAACAAGCTTTTCTGCAATCAATTTTCTAGACTTGAATGGATTCAAGGCACAAATATTTACAGCTTTCTGATATTGAGATTTTATCTTGCAGTACTAAGTAACCAAAATCTCTCCCACATTTGTTTTTGTACAAGGAAGTGTGTGAGATTCCTTACTAAACCATAGTGTAGAGCTTTTTAAAATATTTATCGTAGTTTAAGGAACAAACAGTACTGCAGTTTTATGCAAAAATTACTAAATACATTCCAAGTCGTTTCAATTAAGTATTATGATTCTATTGTCTGATTGCTGAGAATGCTGAATGTATAATTTCCAAACTTTTGGTCCTGGTTGAGCTGATACATCGTTGTTGACAAAGATATGGAAATAAATGGCTAGAACTTCACGATCGTTCTCACACAGAGGTGGCATATAATTAACGTCTGTGACATCATTCTTATGATGAATCAATAAAAATGATTTGTATTCCGGAGTGTACCTATTTGTTTATTTCATGTGTGGCATTAAGGCATACGAAATAAACGCGTCGACTGGTTTTTGTTCGAAAGAAATTCCTGGCAACTTACTCCTCAGGTTTTCCAGCCTATCACAAATGAATCAAAGTCTCCTGAGACCAAACATATACCATTTTAAGAACAAGTGTTTAATCCATCTGGAAAGACCTGACTCACCACACAGTTTGGATTACGATTAGGTCAGACTACCAACATTTTTCGTCCCTTGGATTTCAAGCTTCAAATAACCGGTTCTCATGTTTTGCATGCATGGGGTATGTTATCGATAAGGATAAAAGGAACGAATAAAGCTGATCCTCCACCTTTACTCATATAAGTTCTATCGGGTGTTAAAAATGTGAAACTTCTGAAATGAAGTTCATGTTGTTTCTGTAGTATTATGTCCCTTTTAATAAGACATATAAACATCGCTTTTGTCAGTCCAGTTTGATTTTTTGAAAGTTCGTTTGGCTATCTAGTCTGTGAACCTTCAGTAAAGTGACCCCACAGATACCTTGGAACATTGCCTGGATAATTGGATCTTTTATCAACCGAATATTATGCCCAAAGCGAGTTCTTGGTTTCGAACTCTTATGCTACTTGACTCCTTTACAGACAAGTAACCTGTCGCTATTAACAGCTTTCTATTTCTCAACTACTATTGGAGAGAATGACTTTTGTTTAATGACACTAGGACGTTTTTCATTTTTGATTTGCATCCATTCTTCAGCTTTCACTGGAGAGGAAATACAGTAGCGTTGCACACAACGAGAGAAACTGGATGGTTGTTGATGACATTGATAATCAGGTTGCTGCTTTCCGTATTACATGCGGATTGAGCCTCACACATAGATATTTTAGATGTTTCCCGACTGCTACCACCGGGATGGAAGAGCATAGAAGGAATCACTTTTTTGAGTTTTATTTCTGACAGACCTTGTACAAACTTTTAGTGCTCCAGTGGCCCGATGATCTGACTCCAACTTGATCGCGTGATTATGTTAGCGAAATACGTATGCTATCTACCCTATCTACCCTATTAACTCCGCCTGTAGCTCCTCCAGGGGCTACTGCCAGTCCCAAGCCCGGGTAAAGGAGGAGGGTTGGGCATGGGGTTAGCGACCCCATCCCGTAGAAAATCAACTCGCTAAAAAAACGCTAACCAGAAAAATTCATTCAAACCATTCAAACTCTGCCCTGGGAGTAGAAGGAAAAATGACGTCTCATGATGAAAGCCGAGTTCCTTCGGAAGTCATGAGGCCGATGCACCTTCTTACAACCAGAGCGACAATTTTTATAGGTACATGGAATGTCCGGACAATGTGGGAGACCGGCAGAGTCTTCCAAATTTCTGCGGAAATGAGGAAATACAACCTGGAAGTGCTTGGAATCAGTGAAACACATTGGACGCAGGTTGGACAACAACGACTGTCTTCAGGGGAACTTCTGTTATACTCCGGTCATGAAGAAGAAAATGCCCCACATACACAAGGAGTGGCACTGATGCTGTCTAGAAAAGCACAAAATGCACTTATAGGATGGGAATCTCATGGACCGAGGATCATCAAAGCCTCCTTCAGAACAAAGAGAGAGGGCATTACAATGAACATCATCCAATGCTATGCGCCGACCAACGACTACGATGAAGACGCTAAAAACCAATTCTACGATAGGCTG